GATGTTAGCTTATTTTTTAATGGAAAGGGTAACATATTTGTGCTGTGTTATGGTTTGAGAGATGAAATGGTAATATAGTTGCTGTCGCATTTGAAATATTACTCAGTATATGGTCTATACAAGATAGCTTTCGGGTAGGAGCGTTGACATAGGTTTTTAAGTTGTAATTGTGGCATAGTTCTTGTAACTCACAAGTGAATTTTCCATTTCTTAATGATTTTATGTTTATTGTCTCCTGCTATAACCATACTTTGTAATTAAACTATTAAATAAGTTATCCAATTTTAAAAAAGTGTTCTATAAAAATATTATTATTGACTTATTTTCTGTAATATCGATGCTGCATACTTCAAATATATTTTGCACTCCCTGAACTTTTACAGGGGACACCTTATTGTATAGTAAGCCCTTTCGAACTACATTATAAGTTCCGCTTCTTTGTTTGTTCCTACTATAATAAGTCATGATGTCATAGTCACTAAGTTTTACATAATTATGAGGTCAGAATCGTCATCTTTCTTTTTTAATGTTTCGAAGAGATATAGAACGTCTTGCAACTCTTTTAGCTCTAAAATATTTTTCTTTGACAAAATATTTGAGATATTTTGATAAAAGATTTCAAAATTCTGTCATGCCTTTGTTTCGAAAATAATTATCTCTTTTACTGAGGGAAAGTAATAAATATCTTTGTGGCAGGCGAAACAGAGTTTATACTGCGTTGTGATACTAAAATATGTTAACATATATATTATTTTAAGGATAATACCACTATATTTGTTTATTTTTTTCTCTGTTATAATATTTATATATTCATTATGATTAGTAATGATTTTCTTGATATTCATTACGATTCGCTACAGAAATAGATATTGTTTAAAAAGGCGAAGTCTTGATATAAATATCGATGACACGTTTATCTATGACCAATTGTTTTCGAAAATTGTCAAAGTTGATTTTAGCATTAGTTTATCTGGCATTCGCCTACCGAGAGAGTAAACTGTGAAGAATAAATCTATGTCAATATTTGACAACTGCGTTCATTTTATTAATCAAGAAGTGAATTTGACAAATATTACTGCATTTAAAATAAAATGGAATCATACATCTTTTGTAGTGGTTAGATTTACCGTCTGATCTATCTTTGTTTAATTTATTACCCCCTATAATTTTCCAAAGTTCACAAATATTTATTTTCATAGTCACGAAAGTGAATAAGATACTTATTTTTTTTACAAATGTTAAGTTTTGTAAAGTAATTACAATTCACAAAACGACTCAATGAGTTCATTTTATCACAAATGGTTTCCTGAAATTAAATCGCATTTAAAAAGTCAATGTTACAGGCTATATAAGTCCCAGGGCACAGGCCTACTCTCATTTCTGAGAGGCTTTTAGGTCAAGGTCAAATAGTCCACAGCACTGCCCCAATTCATGTTGGCGAACACATAAAAATTGGATTTACATATAATTAATAAATTTATTACTACGGAGTCGACATTACTCACAACAGTGCCAACTGAGTTTTTCGTTTTATCCAAAGACATTTAAGTAGTAGTAATAGACCGGACATCAGCAACAAAATTGTCGTCTGTAACTTTTGTCCTATACGATATAATATCTCCGATTTTTGTCATTTAGTCCAAATGACATCACCGAAAGATCACGACGCATTCGTTTCATAAATTTAAAAAATATTTTTAAAGAAAATATGCCCGGTTGTGCAATAAGGTATTGTAAGTCACGATATGGAGCAAAAAATGAACATGATTTCGGTTTATCATCCTAAGAATAATGTATATTTAACAAATAGTCTTTAAATTTTAATATTTCTGGTAGATTGTTCTAGAAGAAAGAAAAATTATTGTAATAAGTTCCCTCTGTTATCCAGTAACATCACTATTTATTTACAAATATGTTAGTAATTGAAGACGTGCCTAAAACCGATTTTTACCTTATATTTAGAAGCGTCACCTAATAGGAAATAGCTAAAATATTTTCCAAATAAATATTCAGCGTAGTAGTGCTATTTTTCGCTAAAGGGCTTAACACACGCGCGTGCTCACAGTTTTTGTTGTATATGTGTATACACATAGGTAATGCGCCGGTTTTGTTCAATTAGTCGTCTTACAGTAGCCACATTTCCCTCAGTGATCGCAGTTGAAAGTCGACATTTACGAATTTTATCATAGAGAGAAACTCGGCTTACGGTGCTCAAATGAGGTTTTTCCCTCCCAAAAGCATTTTGAAGACGAGCACTACAATCTCCCTAAAATCGCCCTAAAATATTTCGCGTTAATCTCATTTTTGCAACTGCTGTAAATCTTCAATTTGTGATTAAAAAAAACAAATGACAAGCAACTTCCCGCCAAAAAGTATTTTAATCAATAAAGGAGCTTTTATGTTAAAAAATATAAATTCTAAATTCAAAAAATTATGAGCAGCCAGGATCGCAGAACTTTCAGAGTGCCATATGTATTAAATAGAGGAAGTTGAATAGTATTAGCGGATGTTCGAGGTTCTTCTTGCTCTAAATGAAATCCTCCAATGGTGTCACTGATAACTCTAAACTCTACTATATTATTCATACCTACTAAAAGTTTTCTTTCACCTCTGTTAATATTAGCACCTGACATTATATATACTACTGCAATCACAATTACTTGCAAGGAATGATTTTAAGATAAATGTTATTGTTACATATTGATTAACAATTAATACCAAGTTTTAAATGTTAAAGTTATATGTTTCATTATTAGTAAAAAACAGAATTAATACGCTGCAATCATGAAACAGGTGTAATGACACAATAACGAAAGAACTTAAATATTTAATTATTTAAAACTTAAATTGGTTGCCTAAAAAGTATTACACCTTAAGGTAAAGGGTACATAGGGCGGATGTAATGCCATGTGGCAATCTCTGCCAGTCAACCCCGGATGACTCAAAGACAATTGTTGACAGACAATATACATAATATCAAAGACAATATACATATAGCATATATAGCATATATATATATATATATATATATATATGTGTGTAAATAAATGAATATCCGTATGAATATATCTATGAATAAATAAATAATAATATCATTTAGTAATTGCCCTCAGGTAATGTCGTAGAAGTACTTTGAAGAAGGTTTTATTTATTACATTCTTAATATCATTGGGGAGGGTGTTCAAAATCTACCGAAAAAAAGAAAAATTAACCTATGCTAATGAAACCTTACCCTCATACGGTTTGATTGTCATGATTCTCCACCGTCGATTAAATGAATAAAATAAAAGTTATCCTTAAGATAAAAAGGTCTTGAGGAAAAGAAGACCATGGATCGTTTACAATTGAATAAAGTACAAGTAAAATTCTAGAGCATCGCCTTTGACGTATAGGTAGCCATTTAAGCTTTGAACGGTAGGAAAATGCGTGGTCCTACTAGCGTAAACCAAAATAAATCCTATGGAATTATTAAAAAGGCACTCCAACTTATTTAGAAGATCTTGTGAATGTATTGTTTAATGTAGACTATAGAATGAGGGAATGAACTAGCGTAAGCTTGGTTTTGAAAGGTAGGTTTTAAGATTATAAAGGGAACGCAAAGTGGCAACAACTTTACGACTTACTTCAGATATCTGCAATTTAGATAGCTTTATTTTATAGCCAAGAATTTTTTTATGAAATCACAATATGGAATCAAAGTTCCATTATAAAATACAGGAGAGAGATTTCCATAATTAACGTTAGCCAATAATTGTAAATTTTCTAAAATTTTAATTTTTCATTTGGCTGCATTAACTGAAACGCTATATTTACACGACCATTGTCTTAGACTCTTACTCTTCTTTACTCTACTCTACTCTACTCTACTCTACTCTACTCTACTCTACTCTACTCTCTACTCGGTTATTATTTAATTTATGTATTACAAAGTTAAAATTATTTAAGCCAGACTGCACATAGAGCTGAAGATCATCCACATACAGATGGTACGAACAATCTAAAACTAAGGAGATAGAATTTAAAAATAAGGAAAACATAATAGGAGAAAATAATCCGCGTTGCGGCACACCAGATTCAATTTCAGCCCATGCAGAAAAACACTGACCGGCGTTACCACTGTTAACTTCTGCTCATCCAAGCACTTTCTTATATCTCTATTGTAGATACTCCAAATACACAATGTACATAATACAAAAATGTACAACAGGCGTTCTTATTACTTCGAAATTGTTTCATTCTAGACAACTTATTCGTATAGAACTTATAAAATTACAAATCCGCATAGATATGTGATTAAAAATATTTCGATCGTACAAAGCTTAAAACTTTATGTACGTAAATCTAAAAGTTTTATTGTACTTTATTCAATGTAAAATGATTAAAATTCGTCTACTTATCATATGGAATTTTTTATATCCACATTCGGACGCCACAGCAATTAAACCGTCTTAGGGATAGTATTCCATAGTCAAGTTCTGAGGTTTTCTGGTTCTCTTTACCAGTACAGGCTTTTTAAAGTACCTACCCTTCCCAATTATGTAAGGAATCAGTTACATTTTAGCTCCTACAACATAAAGTTCTGCTTCGACAGCATGCGAAGTGATGAACCTTGTAAAGCTAGATTAGCTTTCTGGAGCTAAAGACAGCAGAAAATGTTCAATGGCAAAACGGAGGAGCCGTTTTATAGATGATTTGCCTCAATCGTTACGCTTGACAGATGGTTGACGAGCGTAGTACCACCCAGGTCATAGAGGCGTTAGTAGTGACGCTGTAGCCATGCGATGAAGTTGATTTATAATCACCTGGTCTTTCATCCAACTTCAAAAAAATGCACATACAAATTGATTTATATAGTTTTATATTAAAATAAACATCAAACTCTCACTTCCAAGTCGTGGTGGCCTGTAATTGAATCTGCACTTAACTTAAATCTTAGATGGTAGGTTAAGAATTTAATGTTTTTGGTGTAAGATTTGTTGGCTGTCCTTAATAAATAAATATTAATAAATCTCATCAAAGTTAATAAAAGAGGTAGCAGCCCTTAGAACGGAAACCGCCCGCGATCGTGAACGCTCTTGATGTGGTGACGGCGAGGCAGTTGAAGGTGCTGCAGAGCGAGGTGGCGCAGCTGGCTTACGAGTAGCACGAGGATCAAGAGAAACTCGCCATTCGCTAATAATTGCTTCTCGAAACGTCACCTACAAAACATGAATTCATATATTTTTTTACCCGACTACATTGGAAGGGGCAAATAAGCTACATTTTGAGGTAATAATAATTATAATAACATGTTTGCTTGTATCGTATTATAATGGGTGCGCACTGTGGTTAAGTACCTACTTAGCACCGGCTCTGCGGGTTGCATTTTTTATTCCACCCAGAGCAACTATGAAAACGTACCATTAATTACATATAAGACTGTATTTTACGACAAATATAACTGTTGTAGTATAATGTGCTTTGTATATAAAATAAGCTTAAAATGATACCTTTTCTTTAACACATATTTCATGGGCATGTAATAGAAAGTCGATAATAGCCACGAAAAGTCCTAAAACTCCGCCACATCCCAAAACTAAAAATATTCCACTAGTATTCGCCATTTGTAACCCATTATCATCTTTGTCTTTAGTTTTCTGTAAAAAAAATATTTTATGCTCATAAACTATAAACTTTAAACTTGGCTTAATGGTAATGGTGATATAAAATAATTTTCATTTTAAAATATTACAAATATTTGAAAATCAATACCTTACAGTTTCCTTCCTTTTCGTTACTTTCCCACCATTTCTTTTTCATAGCCAATAGTTCTCCGGTCTCTTGCAAAGATATGATTGCATTATCAACGAGTCTTTTGTAAGGGGATTCTAAAATAGTTATAATACGATTAGTTGCACTGTATATTAATTTAGAACATAATCAGTATGATACAAAACTTACTTTTATGCAAAGCAATACCGTAATCTTTAGAATCAAGTTTAGGGCCGACCATTTTCAAATCACAGTTCCTTTCCATGTAATACTCAATGGCTGTTGACTCCATAAAAAACACGTAGGTACCCTTACCCCTTACTACACGATCTCTACCTTCATCATTGTTGTTAGTGAAAACGGTGGGCTTAGCAGATTTCATGACAGTAAAAATTTTTTGATATACAGAGTCATTAGATTTCTGTAAGAAAATTTAAGCAATTTATAAATTAAAATAAATGCGACCCGGGAAGTCGATGCCACAGTCAAGGGTCAGTATGCAGACTCTTCCCGGAATTACTGGTTTTCCTAGTTTTAACCAAGGCCTTTCGGCACACCCCGAAATAAATTCCAATTTCGGCTGGAGTACCTAACTTTTAAGTCAAACGTCGACAGTAAAGAAATCGGTTTCGGGCTTTGCCTAGTCGAACCTAGAACCGACTAAGAAAAATTCGGTCAGACGTCGATTCGTACTCATTTGTGGCTAAAGATGGGACAATTCGTCATACAAAACGAATTGCGTCGCAGGGGAGACCAGTCAATTATTTTAAGAAAATAAAATTATACCAATTCATATAATATTGTTTCATTTACCCAGTCAATTACTTTAAGAAAATAAAATTATAACAATTCATATAATATTGTTTCATTTACCACTATCATAACAGAGTTTATAGACTATATATAACTTGACTTTATAGATAAAATAGGTCGAATCTGTTCTAAAACCAAATCATCACGCCCCAACTTCACGTAGTCTTCTCTGCCCCACCCGTAAAGAGTTGTAAAACCGTAGGCACGGAGGGAAAGCAGCCCCCCCCCCCTCCGGCTCCGCTGTAGCAAAACGCAGGCACTTGTGCAAGCCATAGCGACCGGGGCCTGTGATTTGCTACGCAAGAAAAAATGTTTTATAGATTAACTAACACATTAATGCAGGCATGGTATGTAAGATGTGCGCGTCACGTGGTACTCACGCACACATGAATCAGAGACTGGCGTCACTATGAACGGTGCGATGTGTTAGCAACACGGTATCTGTACCTATAAAATATCTTTGTACGCAAAGCAAAGGGACTGCACTTCCTGAAGCGCCCAAGCCGATGCAGAAGTAACTTTTTTTTGTAAAAAAAATGTGAAGTGAGATTCTTATAATATTGAAATAATAAAATTAATAAATGTTCTTTTATTATACTTAATCTGACAAACTAACACATCCCAATACCTAATTGAAGTCTGACTGATCAAACCCCAATTTCATGAAATTGAGTTTCAGTGTGTTTTACTGTCCAAATAAGTCTCTTCTAGGTTAGACAAAAATTCGTTAGTCAAAGGCAAAAGACATAGACATTGACAAGGATCTCCTAGGTGTGCGTTACTTGCAGTATACAGTGGCTGCAATTAACCGCCGGTACGACATACTCCGCCGAACGTCGAGTCCCGTGATTCCGTGAGGCGTCGAGGTCACCGGCCCCTAGGTGATTCTTGGCACTTTATGCGTTCCGTGCATTCTGTGCCTAGTCGCGCATTAAAGTGCCACCTTTGCACTTCCCCCAACCCTTTCGTTGTGAAAGGGGTAGGCAGTGCGCACAGTGTAGAAAGTCTCCTTAACATTATCACCACCATCCGCGTCGCGCATCAATATCTGCTGCCGATCGTTTGGAAGATAGATAGGGCCTTAGTTAAATTACCGCTGACGCTGACTGTTAGGTTAGGATGTCAGGGAACGATAAGGGGGAACCTCCTCCGAGATCGAGAAAACCACCGGACCGGCCAGGCGCATTGGACAGACCCATCGCCTACCGCGACATTTTTAACCCGGAGAGGATGAGAGTAGTCTCATCCTACTCACAAATACCTACCCGGAAACCTTCGTCGCCGAGTAAGGACGCCGCACCTAGGGTTGCACTCTCCCCCATCGTACCTGAGTGTACGATTGGGCGTGAACCGCTGCCCTCACAGCAACAGCGGCCCAAGAAGACGCCACGAAGGCACACGCCACCAGAGACCGAAGCCTCCCTCCATGAAAAGAGGCAGTGCATCGGTAACTCATCCGACTCGCCGACATCATCAGAAGATGAAGAGCCCCAAGCAACGACTAGGAAGAAGGTTCACACCTCACCTCCTAAGTCGCCATCACCACCACCCATCTCACCGGACCGTCGTAGCCACGACTCGATCCAATTTGAACAAGGAGGTGAGGAGTCCTACAGCTGGGGCTCAACACCGTATGCAACCCTAGCTGCATCAGCCGGAAAATCATCACCGGTCCAAACTACCAACCCGTCCGGACTAGCTCACGACGATGGACAGCGGCCGTCGACGAGCTATGCCCAAATGGCTGCGGCCCCTGCAGTACCACGACCGCAATCGGCGGAGGAGACTCAAAAGACAGAGAAGGTCAAGGAGAAATCTAGATATCCGCCGATTGTTGCAGAATGCCTCCCGGATTGGACGAGGCATTTCAAGGTCCTCAATGAGAAGTTGGGCCATCCTCCTAATGCCCGTCCATTCGGGAAGGGAGTTAGATTCTCTCCACAGAGCCCGGATGAGTTCCGTACCATCCAGAAGTACATGGTCGAGCTCTCCGAGAAGGACAAAACCATGTCGTGGTACTGTTATACCCCGGCAGAAGAGAAGCCCACTAAGGTGGGCATCCGGGGGTTACCAGTGGGCACCGATCCCAAGATGATCGAGGAGGCTATCCGGGCAAAAAGGCTTCCCGATACAGTACGTTAAGGCCATACCACCACGTAGAGGCAGACCGGGTTGCCTCTACTACGCACAGCTGGAGCATCTGAGCCTGGAGCGGCTACAAGATCTCTACAATATAGACGAACTCCTCTACATGAGAGGAGTAGTCATTGAAGCCTGGCAAAGGAAAACGGGGCCACCACAATGCCACCGTTGCCAGGCTTTCGGACATGCCTCAGCAAACTGCTTCAGGCCAGTGAAATGCGTTCGCTGTGCTGGAGAGCATATTGCCAGCCTTTGCCCAAGGGGTAGAGAGGAAGAACCAAAGTGCGCAAACTGCGCCAAGAACCATACGGCCAACGATCGCCGCTGCCCGGTCCTGAGGAGGATCGCTAGGAAGCAGGGGATCGTTCTACCTGGGCTACTCCCGGAGAACCCCAAGAGGATCCCCCAGAGTCGCCCCAAGGCAGTGACCATACAGGAGGACGGGTGGGCTACCATCACTAGAGGGAAGGGTAGGCAACCAGCCGCCCCCCACCCACCCCCATCAGTACCAATAGAAACGGTGGCCCCCACAGAGCAGAGGGCAACCACCGGGGCGACTCTCCGACCTCCTGCCAACGACCCACTGAGAGGCAACCCTCCCAAAGGAAGAGGCGGAGGAATCGGAGCAGGAGAACAGAACAGCCTCCTCCTCAGGTAGTGACTACCTCTACCCCTACAACCACAGGACCGATAGCCTCGCAGGCGCAGGTTGCTGCTAAATCAGCAGCGCCAGTTATAGCAAGTAGAGCACCAGAAAGGGCCCTACCGGAAAGCAGAGCCCGCTCCACACATAGAGCGCGCTCTGCGCAAAGGAAGACCATAATCAATGCCCCGAGACCAATGCCTTCACAAAAGCGTAGTGCAGAACGCAGACCACCAACTTCCGACTTCGAGACGGCTGATGCTATCCACAGATTGGTAGGCATAGCCATCGAAGTCGGAACACAAGTCCTGGCCGACATTAGGGCCGGGACTGATCCAGTTACCGCCGTAATGAAGGCGCTGGCATCCCTATTAGCAAGGCACTATGGAGGACAGTAACCTGCGCCTGCTATACTGGAATCCGGACGGGATTCGTCAAAGGATCCATGAACTCCGCACTCTCACCCAGCAACAGGACATCCAGGTGATCTTGCTGGGTGAAACCAAATTACGACCATCAACGCATCTAAAGCTGCCTAATTATATCATCTACAGGAGGGACGAGGTCGATCCCCAAGGGGTCGCTTACAGAGGGACAGCGATCCTGGTGAGGAGAGACATCGTCCACCAGGAGCTGGAACTGCCAGACTTCCAGACGATGCGTTCAATCGGCATAAAAGTGGAGGCGGCGGGCGAGGAACTAAGGATCTTTGCAGCATACCGCCCGCCAGGGACTCTACTTCACTCCTCAGACATCCGGACGGTAATGGAAGGTACAACACCCACCATCATCGCCGGGGACCTGAACGCCAAACACCCGGCGTGGGGGTCCAGAGTGATCAACCCGCCGGGTCGTGAACTTTACGATGACGCAGAACACCACGACTATGACGTTCTAGGTCCCGAGGAACCGACGCATATTCCTAGCGACCCTAGGAAGCGTCCGGATGTATTAGACATCGTGCTCACTAGGAACGTCAACTATCCAGTAGTGGTAGAAGTGCTGTATGACCTGAATACACAGCACCTCCCGATTCTGATAACCCTTGGCACTAAGGCAGTGACGTCACCGCCCAGAGCCGCCAAGACCAAGATCGACTGGAGGCTCTACCACCAACACCTGCAGGAGAGGCCTCCAGTCCATACACCGATCAACTCAGCGGACGACGTAGAGGCCGCTGCAACTAGAATATCCACGTGCATCAAGGAGGCCCTCAACGCGGCCTCTACGATCGTCCCTCTCACGGGAAGAAAAGAGGAGCTGCCGCTAAAGATACGCGTGCAGCTAAACCATAAAAGAGCGCTGAGGAAGCTCTGGGCGCGTACTCGCTGCCCTAGAGTTAAAAGAAAACTTAACACCTTAACAGACGAACTGTCGGTTGCAATACAGGCCCACAGAGGAGAGGCCTGGGAGCGGCGCATATGGAAGGCAGACGAACAACATGCGTCGCTCTATACATTGAACCGACAGTTAACGAAAACACGACCACCTGTTTGCCCGCTGACTAACAACGCGGGCATTCAATGTTACGATGCCAAGGGCAGAGCGGATATCCTAGCTGAGCACTTCGAGGAGCAGTTTATGCCGAACCCAGCAAGTGCGGAGTTCATGGAAATCCATACTCGGAAGGAGAGCCGCGTGCAGGAGCTCCTGTCGTCGCCCGCGCCACCGCTTGCAGGAGAGTGGTTCATATCCCCCGCCGAACTGCGGAGGACAGTAACCCGCCTGCAACCGAGAAAGGCGCCGGGGCACGACGGGATTACTAACGCTGCACTACGACAGCTGCCCAATAGAGTCCTTGTAGAGATAGGTCGGCTCTACAACGGCATATTGCGGACATCCCACTTCCCGGAGGACTGGAAGAAAGGCAAAGTTATCGTCTTGCCGAAACCCGGGAAGGACAGGCGTAGAGCTGCCAATTACAGGCCGATCACGCTGCTACCGCATATAGCTAAACTGTGCGAAAGATTACTGTTAAGACGTCTCCGCCCGTGCATCCAACTTCGGGCGGAGCAACATGGATTCAGGAGGGGTCACTCAACAGCAACACAGCTGACCAGAGTGCTGCACCTGCTTGCGGCCGAACACAACCGTGGCCGCATATCGTTGGGCGTCTTTCTCGATATCGAGAAGGCGTTCGACCGGGTGTGGCACACAGGATTACTCTACAAGTTAGATGTACAAACAAGTATCCCTCCTGCTATATTGCGGCTAGTGGCGTCTTTCCTGGAAGGCAGGAAGTTCTACGTCTGTGTAGAGGACGCCGTGTCCGCAATAAAGACCATAACAGCTGGTGTGCCACAGGGCAGCTGTCTGTCTCCAGCCCTGTACGCGGCATACACTAATGACATCCCTACCCTGGCAGGACACTTGCATGAATGGGAGGACGACGTCGAACTAGCGCTTTTTGCGGATGACAGCGCATACTTCACGTCGTCCAGAAGAGCCCACATTGCAGCTGCCAGGATGCAACGTCTGCTGGACCTGCTGCCACCATGGCTGGATGAGTGGAGGATGGCCGTCAATGTTAGCAAGACGACCGCTCTACTCACTCGCCGCTACAGAAATTTACCACCACCACTAACCCTCGGAGGCCAGGAGATCGCATATGAGAAGGCCGTGACCTACCTTGGATGTCGGATTGACAGGATGTTGCATATGACAGCGCACGTCGACTCTGCTATACGCAAAGCTCGATGTGCGCGGGCAATGCTCCGCCCTGTCCTGACATCCAAGTTACCGACAAAGTCGAAGTTAACTATTTACAAAACATATATAAGACCCCTGCTAACATACGCTGCTCCGGCCTGGTATGCACTCCTGAGCGATCATCAGAAGCGGCGACTTCAGGCCCAGCAGAGTTTGTCATTACGAACCATAGTCGGTGCGGGTCGCTACGTCCGTAATGACGTCATAGCGGCCAACCTCAAGATGGAGAGCCTACATGATTTCGTGGTCCGGCTGGCGCGCGGTATGTTTGACCGCGCCGACAACGGGCCACATGAACACCTCAACGGCTTCGCGCCGTTGCATGCAAGGCCGCCGGACGGGCGACCTTATCCAAGAGAACTCCTCCCTATATAGATTAGGGAGTTTGAGTAAATCCCTCAATGCCGCAGAAAGGCCAACTTAGACAATTGTGTTATTTAAACACAATTTTTAGATAACCTCTTTTTATTATAAATTTACCGACTGCGACAATAGTCGTTATAAGCAACGCCTTTAACATCAAGGCGCCCAGGACCGGCACATTGTAATGTGCCGTGAGGAACATCCGGGTAAAGGGGTATACCCCGAGGCCCGAGACCTGCACGGCATTTATGCCCTGCAGAGGACAACAACGACGATAGACATTGACTAAGACCTTATGTCAGACATTCTCCACTTGACTTCTCCTCTTGACGCTTGACTATAACATCCACACTACAACCTTCCCAGTAGAAAATGAGAAAAAATATGAAACCTAGAATATATATTCAACAAATGCTCTGAGCATGTTCAGAACCTGCGTGACTAAAATAAATATACAAACTTTCAATTGTAAAACTCGATTAACTTCTTCCTTAAGAAATAAATAATAATAACCTTTTGTTTAATATGAGAAAACTGCCTCACCGATATTGATAGAAACTTCATCAGGCCCTAATTAAATAATTGTTAATCGAATGAAACCGGCCCACGTCAATATCATTACTTGTCCTCGAAATATGCGAGGAAAATTAACCACTAACGTATATACGTCCTTACACACGAACGCGCTCCTAATAGCCAACATATCCGTATCTTGAGTCCTTGAAACGGACTTAACTCTTGAGACCGGAAAATCCAAATTTAGCAAAATCACTTCCTTCTGGAACGTTAGATTACTAAAACTATGTTAGCTCAAGGGTTAGCGTCAGCGCTCATCGTTAATTTCACAATACGCGAGCAACCTCAATTTAATTCTTATTCTTCTTTATTCTTTTTTTCTCTATAACGATCTCAATAATGAGATATATCTCTCAATCATCCTTTATGGACGGTATTTCCGGTAATTCCAATCATACATTAAGGACGGTAAATAATTTATTATAATTATTATGTATCAATATAAATAAATGTTTAATTCCTAGATAAATAAATATTTTTTATACGTGGTAGAGACATGCTGCAGTTATATTAGTAGTACAGTTGTAACACAAATGGGTCGGCTCGACCGGGGAAGGACAACGCTCTCACAGAATACCAGCGTAAAATAGTAACTTAATGCTGCTGTGTTTCATATGATGAGTGTAGAGAACCGGAAGCCCTTTTTACTGGAAACGAGGCATTCCATCTTAGTCCTCATGGATGACAACGCATCTGCATTTTATTCGTAATCAAGGATAGATTTAGATGCCTATGGACCACAGCAACCACAGGACGTGGACTGTGTGCTCTATCGTCACCCTATCCTATAAAAAAATAGTTTGATTCCCCCAACGTTAGTTTTAAATGTAACTAATTTAAAGTCTATACCTGAATTAAGATCTGCCAGCTGCACTTAATGGACCATCCTTGGCACTAGACTCAGCAATTTCTTATGGATTTTCTGCTATTGTCACCTACCGTAAGAGGCTCACTCGTCGTCAACAGAATCTAGGGATAACTAGAGGTCCTAAATTATTTACGACTTCATAGTTTAAAATATTTTTTGTTTCCATATAAAAAGTTTAAATACAAATTGAAACTTCTTTTATTCTATTTTCAAAATTTAAAAATCAAAATTAAAAAAATCCAAAGAAAACACAAAATACGGCGGTAAAATTGTTAGTGATTCGTTAGGTCAAGGAAAATTAAAATTGTTCTACTGATATTAATTAATGAAAAGGAAATAGACTGTTTTTCTTTTTTAATTTAAGAGGATTGTAAAGCCGTGAATTTTCATACAAATAGTGATAACGTTTTTTCTCCCGTAAACATAGTCTAATTTTCAAGTTTTTTGGCAATGTTATAGATATAATGAAAAACTAATGTCATCAATTACTTCAAATTTTGCATTCTATCCCAATACGGCAATATAGAGCAACCGATATGTAACAGGGACAATCATGGTGTGGGCAAGAATTCGTCTTGGCGGACAAACCCTCGTTTAGATCCAAGGAAGCATGCTTGCACAAAAGTACCACATGTTTTACCAAGTGTTTTTACTTTTAAGCTATTGCATAGCTTCTATCGCGGGCCTTGAGCGCGGGGACCGAATCCAGAAATTCCGTAACGAAAAAACCTCACGGTCCCCACTCCGACGGGCACGGAGGTGTGGCTTGAAGGCCATGCATCGTCTAACGTCGTTTCAGTTCGGCAGACTTCGGCACTCGGCAGACTTCGGCACGGTGTTTGTGTGCGTGTACACTAGCTGCTAACTCAATGATAAAAATTCCTGAATAACCTACATGATATTAAAAATGAGATATTATAAATATTTTAAACAATATTAACTTCTCATTTATTCAATAAGAGAAAAAAAATTGTTTTCTTATCGGTCACCACGCTCAAAAAGTGTAACTTGAATTAACAAAGACTTAACTGCATAAATAAAATAAATAAATAATTATAATTGCATAAGTTGATAAAAAATGCTATGCAATAGCTTTACCGCGGCAGTCACCGAGTGCCACACGTATTTTTTTATTTCTATCCTTTTTTCTATCCCTTATATATTGATATTAAAACTAGTCAGATACAAAAAGTACAACCAAATAAATTATTCTTCAATTTTATAAAAATAAATACGAAGTACACTTTTTCTCTGACCTATTTATTCACATTTCAAAGAGTAGCCAAATTTTATATTTAAGTTCAAATATATAGGTAATGCTATACCGATATGACAGTTTTTTTCAGTATTTGGTACTGTCAAATCTTGGTCAATTGTTTTTTTTCAATTAGCAGTACTCCTTGGTTAATTATATTGCCGCGTAGACTCGGTTTCGTATAATCTTTGCACACCACGTAAACTTTCATCACTCAAAATGTAATACCGCACCATTTCATAGTTTCATAGTATTCGCGGTTGGAATATTTTCATTCCGTCATTGGTAACGAAGCGACATTACTACTTACGAAAATTTAAAAATAGCAGCAGTACACTAAGCGGCATATTGGTTAGCAAAGGTGATGGACGCGAGATGACGCGCGACAAGGTACCTAAATATTGTAACCGAGCAACCCTTACAAATGTGTGCGTGCGTAGTAAAATACTAGTCGTTACATATTTATGAATGACAATCTGCAAAAATATTGCATTACAACGCATTCTAAAAAAAGATATAATAGACAAAATATTTGAGATTTTTAAAATTAATTTTTCTTCACCGTTCGCCTATATTACTTATTCTAAGCCTTCTCTGCAAATTTATCCATATATTTCAAAATAACCCTGTATTTAAGATCACTCAGGATAGAAATAAAGGTCTAGTTAAAATTTTACTCGTACTTCAAAAAAATTATAAGTTGATCCATTTTTCATGATACCATATGAAATTTCGTGCTGTTCCGAAAGTTGTTTGACATCCTTAATTTCATTATCACGGCGACTGTTACTCAAGAATGTGGACATATTAGCAGTGTATGAAGCAGTCACTATAAGTGCAAAAAACCACCACATACCAGTGACCCATCTTGATCCCATTGCTCTGTAAATATAAAAAAGCATCAGTAACATTTCATTACCATTTAAATTTTTTATAGTTAAATATACCTGGGCAATATATCACATCCTTGTGTCATTATAGCACCAATCGTTAGCCACATACAATTGTAGAAACTCCAAATATTTTGTAAATTTTCTGGATTCTGATTACATGGATGAGGATTTACCCAATCTTGCTGACTCATCCTGTCAAATATTCGATTCGAGCTTAATCAAAATTTTACACATAACTTAAAGTAGTTAAAAGGTATTAAGCTTACCTTGCACAAATTAAAAGAACAAATGATACAATTATGTAAGCAGTAGCTAAATATAACCAAACGTCTAAAGCTAGGGGTTTTATAAATGAAAACATATTTGGTGGCTGCGGCTCACGTTCACTAAATAACATACTAATACCTAAAGACATAAAGGGAGTCGAGAAATCAACTACAGAACTACGTTCAGATGTAATTGTGATATCACAAACTGCCATTTCTGCATTCTGTAAAAAAAAATATGGGTAATAAACGTACGTTACCGAAATTAATTACGACATTACATTCTCTCCAATACTCACTAGTTCTAACACCTCCCCGATTAATCCATCCCATTTTTTTGTTCCAGATATCTGACTTCCAATACTATTGCTGTCAATTTTATATATTTCGTGTTTTATTTCCTCATAGCCCTTCTGTTGTCTAATATGCTTAAAAATTCCTTCAATTAGATCCACTGCATATCCCTTGTATACTGTTGTCCCGTTAGATTCGTCAATATCGAAATACGGCATTCCTTTTTTTGTTACTACCTATAGGTGATTATTAATATGATGAATTTATGTTCATACATTAGATTAAAAGTCTTTTTGAAACAAATGCTGAACATAAGCTATTCTAAAGAAACACCAATTAAAAAACACTTTGTAACTGAAAAAGCAGCTACATTCATTATTTTCCCCATACTCAAAACGTTAGGTTAGGCTTATAGGAGGTGGATCAGTGAACGCAAATCCAATATGGTATTACATATTTCCATCATCAGTTCTATAAAGCTGAATCAAAAATGCAAATCCAAAACCGAAATCCATTTAAAAAACTCTTTATTAAAGAAGGTAGCTGGAACAAACTGTTAAAATATTTTCCTTTACATTTTGTACCTTATAATTTAAATGTATATTTTATTTATTGTTTTATAAATATTTATTTCAATGAAAAACAATTACCCTCACTACTGATTCAGAAGTCACAGCCTTAGATCGATCTGTTACTGCTGTATTAATTGTGATTATATCATCCGTTTTCGAATCCCATGTTCCAACTTGAACAAATTTACTTTCACTGTCTAATTTAGAGTAATATATTGTAAAATTTGTTCGTTTTCCATATTCATCAAATATTATATCTCCAGTAGCACCTTTAAATGTTGTCTAAAATAAAATAAAAAATACAAAAGCACCACAAATGGATAAGAGAAAATTAAGTTACGTGGAAAACATGTTTCTTAGGAACTGGTGCATTTCTGAGGATACATATCATTGAGTTATACAAAACTAGAAGAGCAAACCACTAAAAAAATTACTAAACATTTTAAATAAGCATATATCTATCTCACTTACACAAGTTGCGAAAACAGTACCGTCGCTAAGATTAGATAAAGATAGACACACAAACATGCAATGGCGGGTTGGTGTGTCTTACCATATGAAATTTTACCGAAAATACGCAATGAAAATGATTTTTTTTTAAGTTGCAGTTGTTTTTATATTAAAAAAAGTATATTTTATTTTAAAATCTTTATTGCGTCTCTTTAGAAAAAAAATGATAACAAGCTTATCAGATGAATAGAAACAAACATAATGATGACATAAAACATATTTTTATAAGTATTGTTATTGTACTAATAAATCAAACAATATAAAATAGGTAATAAAATATATTTGATAGATCATTCATGAATAAACTAAAATAAGAATAATTTATTATTTTGTATGAAAGTTAAAACGTAGTTTTTATTATAATTTCCAAAATATTTAAAATCAGAGGTAACAAATTAACTTACTCCATTAATGGGAGACTATAATATCTCCCATTAATGTAGGATAATCACAAAGGCGGAGAAGTGGCAACATTGCACCTAAATCGCAATGTTCGATAATTTTATTTAATTATTTGAGGATTTTTACGTTTATATGAAAACAAGAACTAAAAATTATGTGTTGAAAGTGATTCCGCTTGATTTATTATGTTTTTGTGACCTTGGATCGCATTCTTTCACTACGCATTTACCCATTTTTGTCGCGGCTCAACTCTGTCGGTGTCATATTGAACACTGAACTGATTTTAGCTAGGCATATGGCTGTGGCCATATGTGCAGTGCCAATGCTTTGGCGCGGTAATTACCGATCTAGTGTAATATTTTTTTTTTTAATTTTTTTTTTTTTTTTTAATAGGATAGGGTGACAAACGAGCACACAGTCCACCTGATGGTAAGTGGTTTCTGTGGCCCATAGACATCCACATCCATCCTCCATTACAAATCAAAATGCAGATGCGTTGTCACCCGTGAGGACTAAGATGGAATGCCTCGTTTCCAGTAAAAAGGGTCTCCGGTTCTCTACACTCACCATACGAAACACAGCAGCATTGAGCTACTATTTCACGCTGGTATTCTGTGAGAGCGTGGTCCTTCCCCGGTCGAGCCGACCCATTCGCTCTACAACTATACTACTAATATAACTGCAGCATGGCTCTACCACGTATTTTTCTGACCGATACGACTTAGGGACCTTGAAGAAGAGCCTACTCGTTTTTAAAAAGGCCGACAACGCATCTGCAATTCCCCTGGTGTTGCGGCTGTTCATGGGCGGCGGTAATCACTTACCATCAGGTGAGCCGTATGCTCGTTTGCCGCATCTCCTATAAAAAATATATTTTGCGAGTCTTTATTGTTGACGTCATTCTGTCCATCATGGTAATTTTTTTAGTACAAATGAAGAAGATGCTGCTGCAGTAAGTCTCCCCGGTTTGCATACTTCATTTGTTTTGGTGATATACGTCTTGTTTTTATTTCTAATGCATTCCGTGCATACTTTTAAATGTAGTCTTTACTAGGTAGTGTTCATTTAGTTAAATGGAGTATAATCTAATATGTATGTACAGATGACTATAATTTGGTTTTCGTGTAGTCTGGGCAAAATTATATGACTATGTCGTTTTTTTTTGTTAATAGGGTGACAAACGAGCACGCAGTCCACCTGATGGTAAGTAGGTGCTGTGGCCCACAGACATTTACATTTATCTTCGATTAAGAATCAATACGCAAATGCATTGTCACTCTTGCGGACTACGATTGAATGCCTCGTTTTCAGTAAAAAAAGCATCTCCGGTTCTTTACACTGACCATACGAAACGCAACAGTATTACGTTGCCACTTTACGATGGTATTCTGTGAAAGCGTGGTGCTTCCTCAGTCGTGCTACAACCATAATATAATATTAGTCGTATTACTAATATTACGAGTACTAGTAGTGTTCCATGCCTTTAATTTTATATATCGTAGAGGAACAGCCAAAATTCTATCTTTTTAAATAGCCAGGGCTGAGTCACTCTGAATACATTCTACACTATTCACAGTGCAATTGAATTCAACATCCAACCACAGCGCCCCATATTGGGTGCTAGCATAGCTATGAACCTTCGTCTCAACTAAATCAATATATTGATTTAGTTGAGAATTTGACATCGTATCACACAATTGTGATACGACGTCAATCAGTCCAGTCATAAAAGTTACACAATCACGATAAGACGATAGAATATAGTCATTAAATTAGTCAAGGCACATGAATGTTTGTAAACCAATATATCCAGCTTCTAACGGACCAGTACTTGCTGTTCCGCAGAAGATAATCATAAAATATCAAAGTACAGTTGTAGGGTTGTACAGCCGTCTCCTCTTCCTGGGGGCATCTTCCTTCATATAAATCAATGATACGTTCCCACAGCATAGAAGATAATAGTAGCCAGAAACATATAAATTACAAAGGTTTTCATATACATATTTAATCTTATTTCAACATTTAACAGTAAAGATTTTCAACATTAACAGTAAAGATTATTCAAAGATTTTGTCTGCGATAGCTTTATTTCACTTTAGTCGGTGAAACGCTTATTATACTATAAGATCGATAATGTTACACGTCCTGTTCAAGAGTATAAATTCAATATATTTAAATTAATAACAGTTTGGGTATTCTCAAATCGTTGTCTATGCAATTGTCATTTTTATCAAATAAGTTAACTTGTTTTCCTTTTTGTATATCTGGGAGCACGACAGTGCCCCAGAAAAAAGCGGCACGGCCGTACCATACTTTTCTCGAAGCAATTCAGGCCATTTTCGACCCCCTATAACTTCGTTGTGGATATAACTAGAAACCTGAATTTTCAGAAACTAAGCAGGCACGGTATATTTCAAATTTCATTCAATTTGAAACAGTAGTTTAGGAATTATAATTAGTCAAAGTTTCTTAATTTTGTCACTTACTGACCGACCGATCATCACAACTCTAAGGCACTTCTAGCAGACATAGAAGCTTCAAACTTATAACTTATACTAGTGTTTAGTGTATAAATCAAGAAAAACTAAAATATTTTTCAATTTCGGTCGAGTTTTCTAGATACACTAACTGCCGCATAAATAACTTTGTAATCCCATATATATATATATATATATATATATATATATATATATATATATATATATATATATATATATATATATATATATATATATATATATATATATATATTATATATATATATATATATATATATATAGGATTACAAAGTTACATTTGCAGTGAATGAATCAGTTTACCTGTATATGTATAATATAATGGAATAAAAGATGTAAATAGGTACTTTGTTGATAATCAAGAAGTAGAAGGTACCGGAAGGAAAAAGTAGGACTATCTGCAGAAAAAAAATGAGATGCCATCTAAAACATAACTTGTAAAAAAACCAAGTCTCGCAACTCAGCTCTTCTATCGTAAAAAGTTGTGAGATCCATGTATTACCAAATCGGTTAATTTATTTAGTCCCTACTTAAAGATCCTTCTGTCTTAAGTTATTACGTAATTAGCTAACATAACAACATCTTATGTGACCATATCTGTATTTAAAATCTTTTATGTTTTAAATAAATAGATTCTGGCTGTAAAATTTTAAGTACATTGGACTTAGTCATTGCGTACAACCAGCTTAGAAGAGGTACCAAAAACGGCAATAACAACGCTTTTGGACTCTTAGAGTTCCTGTTCATGAGTTACGGTTTGCGCAATGGTGTTCAACCATTCCAGAGGTTTGTGGACGAAATTACACGAGGTCTCGACTTCTGCTGCAGTTATTTCGATTATTTTGTATTTTTTTCAAAGGACGAGGTAAAACATGAATTTTTTCAGAAACTGAAAGAATATTGTATGCTAATTAATACATATAAGTATGTTTTTGGTGCCCGAGAAGTATCCTTTTTGGGATACCACATCTCGTCATCAGGCACCAAACCATTTAACACTAAAGTGGAACCTATAAAAAAAACTTGCCATTCCCGACCAATTTTCATCAGTTTCGACGATTTCTGGGCTTGACAATTTTTATAGGCGATTTTTACCACGTGCTGCAGAAATACAAGCGCCACTTGACGCCTTGCTGACAGGCGTAATTAAGAATAACCAGCCCAATACGCTGTCTGGCAAGTATTTAAATGCGTTTAAATCATGCGAAGAAAGCCTTTCTGAGAATGCGTTGTTAGCGCACCAAGATAACCAAGCAAAATTAGCGTTAGTCACTGATGCTTTAGATAAGACAATTGGAACTGTCCTACAGCAGCACAAATGTAACGCATGGTAGCCCAGCATTTTTCTCCCGAAAGCTGAGCACTACTCAGGCTAAATATTCCCCTTACAACAGGGAGCTTCTGTCAATTTTTTGAGACTGTTAAATATTTTCGCCACATGTTAGAAGCAAGGTATTTCACAGTGTATACTGATTAAAAGGTAAGCAACTTCATGCAAGAAAATCTAACTGTTCGCCCAGGCAGTATAAGCACTTGGATTATATAGCTCAGCTTACTATCGATATTAGACATATTTCCGGTACGGACAACGTTGTTGCCGATAAACTTTCACGCATAAAAGCATTGGAGTCACCTATTGACTTGGAAGCTTTATCTAAAAGCCAGGCTAAAACTGAGCTTGCAAAGCTCATAAATAAATCTCTTCAGTGTGACTAGGAAAACTCAGTATACCCGGGAATCGAATCCCATTGTACTGCAACGTCAGTAAAACGACTTCGAAGCCATTTGTTAGCAAGTTTTCCCGAAAACAAGTTTTAAATACCTTACATTCGCTTAGTTATCCAGGCGCTAACACAATCACCTCGTTAATGGCAGAACGTTTCGTATGAAAGTTAGAAAAGACTGTCGTGAGTGTTCAAAAATATGTTGACCATGCCAACGTTCAAAAGCAAGTTGGCATGTTAGGTCACCTATAGGCACGTATAGAATACCGCGTGCAAGATTTAAACAAATTCACATGGATATTGTTAGGGCCATTGCCCTTGTCGGATGGCTACCGTTATTGTCTGACGTGCTTTGACCGCTTCACAAGGTGACCCGAAGCTGTTCCGATCGCTGATATAACAGCAGAAACGGTAGCGAAGGCTTTTTTATCTTGTTGGATAGCTCACTGTCCTAAAGACATATAATTGACCGCGGTAAGAAATTTGAGTCAGTTCTATTCCAACACCTCGCAAAAATAGCCGGATTCCAAGACAAACTCACGAGGGCTTATCATCCGGCAAGTAATGAACTGGTGGAATGATTCCATAGGCAGCTCAAATCGTCCATAATTTAGACATACACGAGAAGAATGGACCGAGGCACTGCCATCTGTATCTAGGACAGTTATACGCAGCTCGTTCAAAGAGGACTTACAAGCATCTTGTGCTGAATTTTTGTATGGTAAACCTTTGACTTTGCCCGGAGAATTTTTTGAGCCCAGTTTTAGCGGTACAGCCAGGGTTAAGTTTTGGTTTAGGGCATTGTTTAGGTGCTGAACCAGGATCCAACCAACTTGCTGAGCGCTTGCGATTGTCAAACAGAGTCCATTTTTGTCACAGGTAACAATGCGATTCAAAATTAGTTCGTATGTGTGCCTGTTGAGCAGTTCAAGGCACATCTCAACGCGTATTCTGCGCTGGCAATCATTGAGTTTTTTGGAGACCCATTTGTCAAGCTTTTTTTCCTTGCCATTTTGACGCAAATAGACTAATATTGTTTTGATGCTAACGTCAAAAGCTGCCGTTAATTCAGCCGTAGATTGAGTTATTGTCAACCAAAGTTTTCGCACGACCATGGGGTTCATTTTTCAGGTCGGAATTTTCAGAACGGAAGTGGACAAACTAACAACAGGTGGTGCTTTCGTTTGTAGTGTTAACTCCGTAAACGTCCGGTACTCATATACCATAATTACTCGAATTTTTCACGTATCCATGAAGACCAAAAAGAAGCAAATACGATGATAACGTAACACTAATCAATCAATAACTTATTCTGAAAAAATAATCCCTTGTTTTTAAAACAAAATTAATTTGAAATTAGAATGTTTAACGGAAGTTTTATAGGTAAAGGACCTATTATTGACTTAGATTTTATTCAGACATCCGTAATACCCTTAATCAACGACTTAAGAAACTGTCAAGTTTAAACCTTTTATTGGTCATAAAAATATAAAAAATAACTTTCTTTGTATCCTTACATCGCGCTCCACTATTATATAAATATTATAAGTGGTTATTAGTCTACTACCTGCAATAAAATTTCCCTTAAAGAATTTCCATTCATCCACGCTTTCTCTTGATACGCTGCTTTGTCCACAGAGAAACATAATTCTGGTGGTTCAGTATAGTCATTCTCTGCATACTGCTTTCGCATGCTCCGAATAGCCTTTTCAAGATGATTTAAAGCGTCAGCTGTCAAGGCGGTCTCAAGCTAAAGAAAAATAATGGGAGAACGTTTTTACCTTATTTCATTTAATTTTAACACAAGTTTACAATTAAATTGATTTTCTTGACATAAAAAGCCAATAACTAGTTTTGGTTCGACACGGGATTTAATTCCAAAACCTCATATTCAATAATCGCGTTTACAACCATTGGACATACAAGGGAGTCAAAAAAGATAGAAAGAAAAAAACTTCAAGAAAGTTCAAGAATGATAAATCAGTGATAAATGCACAATACACCGGATTGTGAGTAAATGCTGTGGCCTATAGGATGATCATCTATCCTCGATTAAGAATCAAATTGTAGGTTTTAACGGGCGAAGATAGAATGCCTAGTTACCAATAAAAAGGATCTTCAGCTCTCTATACCATAGGAAACACAGCAACATTTAGCTACTATTTCACGCTAAAATTCTGTGAAAGCGAGTACTTTCTCTGATCTAGCCGTTCAAATGAAGTAGGTAAACGCTCTTACCATTCATGCTGCAACCACAATATAGCTGCAGCGTGACTCCATAACGTTAAATTATGTAATATATAATATAGTAATATAGTTGTCAATTATATACATATCTGAAGGTAGTAATTTTATACTCTTTGTACATATATATCGACCAAAATAAATCAATAAAGCGGGTTAAGCTGTAAGTATATCAATATCTGACTGACTGGATGGTCTAGTGGTTGTAGTAGTGCGACTTCTGATCATGAGGTCCCGGGTTCGAATCCCAAGTCGGGCCAAAAAATAATAACAGTTATTAAATTTTTCCATCAAGATATTCTCAGTAGTTGCTCGGAGTCAGGAAATTGACGGTGTCTCACCCCGTGCCTCGGAAAGCACGTAAAGCCGTTGGTCCTGCACCTGATCTCTCTCCGGTTGTGTCGGTTTATCGTACCATGGGCCATGGGACGATAAACCGACACAACCGGAGAGTAAGGAAATAGAGAATAAAACTGTGCTTGCGCATACACTTTGGCACTATAATCCTGTCCTGCGCCGATGGCTAGTCTCCGATGAAGCTGGCCGCCGTGATCGAGTTTCGGTCTGGATGACATTATTATTATATCAGTATTATTTATGTAAAACTTTTTTTTTTACTTACAGACACTGTTATTTCATTTGTATTTACACCGAAATCTCTCCAAATAGGTTCGTTTATTTTAGTCAAATGTAGAGTAGAAACGTTTGCCCGAAGTTGCGAAATTTCGTCAAGTTTTACTAAATAGGAATCAAGCGCAGTCAAAATAAAACTCTGTAAATAGAAAATAAATTATTGAATTGATATTGCTAGTTTTAAAGTTGTCTATATATAATAGACATATTTTTGTTGCAACTCTTGAAGAAAAATTAAATATTATAATTCAAAAATATAAGGTAATGAAATAAAAGTTCCAAGAAAAACGATTAGATAAAACGTCTTGCACAAATTTCAAACCTGGAATAAAACTTGATTTAAGTACCAAAATAAAAGCCGTCTGACGACTGGTAATTGTGACGCTTATTCTTACCTGATATTGAGTGGAATTGTTAACAGATACTATTTCTTTCATATATTTTTGAATATTATTCACATCACAATCTAATACATGATAGCTTATTCGTAAAACAACAAAAACGTTTTTAAACGTCTCTCTGTTGTCTTCATCTGGGTCTAATTTCTCGAAATGGATATGATCGTTACCGTAAGGCCATGAATTAATTACTTCTTGAATTCGAACGAAACCTATATCAGAAACAAGTCATAAAATGTCTATCTCCAAATAACTTTGAAAAAAAAAATATTTATATTAAAGTTAGCAATTTTATTAATAAGCTGATTAATTCACACTTTACTGTCATCATCCTCATAGAATAAAGTAAATCTATCCCATTCTAATTCTTTGATGAGTGTTGCAAAGGCTTTGGAAATAAGCTCGGGGGGTGGATGGTAAAAAAAAAGAAAAGAGATCATCATTCGAAGTGTCTGTTGTCTGCCATCCTACAGATAGATGCGAAACCTGAAATGTGATTTTTCAAGCATTATCTTATGTTAAATGTTAAATCTTGTGTATGACATTATCAATTTTTAATTATGTATATCAAAATTTCTTGTCAATCCCCACAACAAAACAAGGGAAATTTATTAGGGAAAAACGCTGCGCAACATTTTTTTAAAAGCTCCATTCATTTCAAAACCCTCTTTTTTATGTGTCTTACAAAGTCGCGCTGTGAGACGTATAAAGTTCTTACTTTACTATTACTTTTTCTATTACTTTTCCTTTTACTTATCATATGTTTGAATATGTAATAACTAACCTTTTTCGTTTAAACGGTATAATTAGAAATAATTATTAACATGCAGGATCAGGAACACAAGCCAAATGAAACACATCTAATAACAAAATATTAATATTGACGGGCTTCGACTAGTATTCAAACCTAGAACTTATCTTATAATAATGTTAGACTACTAACCACCGACCCCATGTACAACTAAAATAAATTTGAGAATTTACTCAAACTAATAAAGCGCCTTGTCGTTTTATTACATATGCAATACTTTATTGTGAAATGTTTTAATTTTATTTAATTAATAAATTTATGCAGATTACTTGCAGCTCAGCAATATTCTCTATTCGTACCTTCATCAGTATAAATATTATCCCTCATACTTTTAAAAGTTCATACTCAAGGAAAAACCCATTTTCTTTAACTTTACATTGTTTTGAAAAGAAAGGCAAATAATAACTTTAAAATATTTGTTTCCTTAATCGTTATAAAAAATCTATATTTTCATTGAAATCGAATTAATTTAAGAATGCACACACACACACACATATATGTATATATATATATATATAATGAAAAAATGCTTTCATCGACTTAGAGCTAAGCTCTTTACAGCCAAAAAAGCTTACAGACAAGAAAACAGCTTTACAATGTAAGGACGTGTTGGCAGTTTTAAAAAACCATTTAGAGGACATCTTTTGTTGTTTCCAACATGCGCGATTCCTTACAAAATTTTTCATCACCAACACTTTTATGAAAAATTTTAAAAATATGTATTCATTTTAATACTTACATTTAATTTATTACACAGTAAACAGGTTATGTCGCATATTCCGTTTGTTGGTCGAGCATCAATTAATGCAACGACACCTCTATTATCCGAAGTCTCAGAGCACACTGAAATAACCTAGTTTTAAATGTCTTTTTAAATTCTTAAAAAATTCTTATAATTTTAGTTTAAAAAAAAATTACTTCTAGTAAAATCAATGTTCTGTATAGTATAAAGCTTTACTCACGGTCTTGTGCTATAGAATATGTATCCACGACTTTTGGGTGTAAGATGCGAGCGTTAAAAGGTTTTGATGAGTCGGTTCTCAAAAGAATTTCAAAAACCTCTTCTGTTGTTGGGTTAGTTTGATAGTCAAACAATGCTCCTAGAAATATTTAAAGCAAAATATAAGTAAACATTTTAATTTTCTTGTAAATAAAATTTTAAATAAAAAATAAAATTTTATGTATTCAAAGCCATACCAACAGGGAATCTCGGATAAGCACTTATTTTCACAGTTGTATATGAAAAAAATACGAATATTATGTTTGTAGACAACATCGCTGTAATCTTTAAAATAGCCCGGCACGCATGAGGCGAGTGCGCCGCCTTCACGCCGTCTGAATATTTTTGGAAAACAATTTTAGGTCACATCTTGCCGTATAAATGTGGCAGAAACGGTACGATATTTACAGTGATCGCAGTTTTTCCTCAACTTTATTAATCTGAATAATAATAGACAGTATGACATAAACTATTTAATTGTTTCAAATATTATAAAAAGTATGCGAGTGGAATATAGTAACTACTTCTGAGTAATATTGACCAGAATAGTGATTTAATAATAAAGTGGATAGTAAATAACTTAGTACTAGAAAGACCAGTAAAATAATTATAACAAAATGAGCCTATAATATACATATTTAAAAAGTAAAAATATAAAAGAGTTAACATGCGGTGGTGTGTATTGTTTTTATACCTAATTATTCAAGAATGCAACTCGCAAATGAGACGTGATATATTATACCAAATTGGTAAGTTGCAAGGCCAAATATAACAAAAATGTGTAATTAAAAGGATTGTAACAGACTAATTTTCATCACAGCGGGAGTATTCGGAGACAATGCATTAACACAACGCTTAGCGTTTGACGATAGTATGAAAGATGCAAGCGCAGATGACTACAGACTGGAACCCATTATTGTAGAATCTTCCAGAAATGATATATTCTCAACATGGCGAGATTGTAAGTAGGAAATTACTACTAACTTATAATGTCCCAAAAATCAAAACAACATTTCAGCTGATGATGAAAGTTAAAAATAAAAAGTTTTATAAATTGTTAAGACTGCTCCAACCAAAGGTTACGTTATACGAAGTTAAAATATCCTGCGGTATTTTTTGACTGTGAAACATATTTCAAGCGATTAGAAGAGCTGTGAAAATATAGTATAAAAATACATGAAAAACTGCGGTTGCAAACCCCCTTGCCAAGCATGGCAATGATGGCAAATATCCCCACTATAAGGCTATAGGAGAATCTAATTTAGGCTAATCTATAGGAGATGCCTATATTCAGCAGTGGATTTTATTAGGCTGTAACGGTAACGGTAACTTAATTATTGGTAGAAATTACAAATGCCAAATGTCTTCGATATTCATTCTATAATCATTTTCGTTCCATTATTTCACAATTCATCGTAAAAGATGGTGACAAATTTTTTGACAATTTTCAAATCTAATAAAATATTTATAGCTTATTTCATAAATTTTAGTGTGCTCAAACAAAATAATGCAACCTATAGCCATATTAGGTCCACAAAACCCGTTAAAAAACGCAGCAATTATGAACCAATGCGCAATTTCCAAAATACCACATTTACAAGCAGCATGGCAACCTCCAGAGCCTGATTATGAAATCGAAAACATAATTGAAGCAGAAAATAGAACAGACAGTGAAAATAAGGAAACTCCCGCATATAATAAGATATCTATTAATTTTTTTCCACCGGGTGAAGAGATTTCTAACGCATATGCTGCATTATTGAGGTACTACAAATGGGAAAATTTCGCAGTACTTTATGAAGACATTAATGGTAAATTTTTATTTCTGTAAATCTTAATAGTAAGCTAAGCGATAAAGATTGATTTTTTATGCATTTGTATTACATACATTGCTTTATATGTATATATATATATATATATATATATATATATATATATATATATATATATATATATATATATATATAACGTAACATATATTTTATATTTAATGTTCATTGGAGCATGCATCAGAAAAGAGAGCTAGATTTACATACTTTAGCTAGTAAATCTGAACTCAGGATACATAAAATTGATGAAAGTAATGATCAAACCCAATCAATTAAATTTTATAAAATTGAAACATATTCATAATAATTTTTTTTGTATCTTATATAGGTTTTTTTGTATTATATAGGTATAAGATAATCAATCTTTTTTACGTAAAGCACCGCAATAAATAAATAAAATGATTACTATATTAGTACGTTGATAAAAATAATTTCTAATTAAAATACTTCCTAAAAAATATTTTTAGCAACCCAAAAATAATGATTACAAAATTGTCATGGACTGATGTACTGCAATGGCGGCAGTGCAAGTATGTTTGCGTACAATCAGGGTTGTCATATGAAACAAAATTTTTTTTAATAAAACAATCTATCAAGATTTAATATAAGTTTGACGAAATACTAATTTACTATTACGTATCAACTATAGGTTGCGCGGAAAAACTATTACTTTCGCATTTTGTTTGGTTGGTTAGTAGCTGGCTGGCACATCCCTCTATCCCATCCGCTCATTCCTTCCGCACGCACTGAAGGGGGGGGAGGGAGCTAAATTATACCAGGACACGCCACCGGCCGTCCAGAGTTGTTGACGTGCCGCCGCCACGCCGAGTAGTTGAAGATCAACACTAGATGTGATTACATAGTAGTAACCGCTTCGCATAGTGTAATTTGCTGAAACGTCGCTCGGACTCTTACAACGCAGTCGCAACACAGGGGTCATCGTCCTCGAGGCCGCTGAGCAGTAAGAGGCTTACCCCGGTAAGTAAGTGCCCCCCCCCCCGGTAAGTGCTTCCTTTTAATTTATCTTGAGCTGTTCTTTGTTTTCTCTTTACTGTGTCCTTTTTTTCCTAACAGCTCAAATTTAATTCCCGTGTAAGGCACCGGCTAGATATAATAGATTACGTAATAGCGAGTGCCTTGCCCAAGCCTGCCACGTGCCACGTCAGCCATCATGATTTGGTTATATGGGAATCACGAATATACAGTCCACATATAGTTAAACTCGCATAAATGATATTGCCTGACCCGGGAATCAAACCCGAGACCTTATAGCTCCACCATTTTCTGGTTCCTTCGTACCGGATTTAAATTAGCGCCCTACCGCCGCACCATTTTCTGTTTCTTCGTACCGGATTTAAAGTAGCACCCTACCGCCGCACCATTTTCTGTTCCTTCGTACCAGATTTAAATTAGCACCCTACCGCCGCACCATTTTCTATTCCTTCGAGCCGGATAAAATTAAATTAGCACCCTACCGCCGCACCATTTTCTGTTCCTTCGTACCGGATTTAAATTAGCACCCTACCGCCACACCATTTTCTATTCCTTCGTGCCGGATTTAAATTAGAACCCTACCGCCGCACCATTTTCTGTTCCTTCGTACCGGATTTAAATCAGAACTCTACCGCCGCACCATTTTCTGTTCCTTCGTACCGGATTTAAATTAGAACCCTACCGCCGCACCATTTTCTGTTCCTTCCTACCGGATTTAAATTAGCACCCTACCGCCGCACCATTTTCTATTCCTTCGAGCCGGATTTAAATTAGAACCCTACCGCCGCACCATTTTCTGTTCCTTCGAGCCGGATTTAAATTAGCACCCTACCGCCGCACCATTTTCTGTTCCTTCGTACCGGATTTAAATTAGAACCCTACCGCCACACCATTTTCTGTTCCTTCGTACCGGATTTAAATTAGAACTCTACCGCCGCACCATTTTCTGTTCCTTCGAGCCGGATTTAAATTAGCACCCTACCGCTGCACCATTTTCTGTTCCTTCGTACCGGATTTAAATTAGAATCCTACCGCCACACCATTTTCTGTTCCTTCGTGCCGGATTTAAATTAGCACCCTACCGCCACACCATTTTCTGTTCCTTCGTACCGGATTTAAATTAGCACCCTACCGCCGCACCATTTTCTGTTCCTTCGAGCCGGATTTAAATTAGCACCCTACCGCCGCACCATTTTCTGTTCCTTCGAGCCGAATTTAAATTAGCACCCTACCGCCGCACCATTTTCTGTTCCTTCGTACCGGATTTAAATTAGCACCCTACCGCCACACCATTTTCTGTTCCTTCGAGTACCGGATTTAAATTAGAACTCTACCGCCGCACCATTTTCTGTTCCTTCGAGCCGGATTTAAATTAGCACCCTACCGCCGCACCATTTTCTGTTCCTTCGTGCCGGATTTAAATTAGCACCCTACCGCCGCACCATTTTCTGTTCCTTCGAGCCGGATTTAAATTAGCACCCTACCGCCGCACCATTTTCTGTTCCTTCGAGCCGGATTTAAATTAGCACCCTACCGCCGCACCATTTTCTGTTCCTTCGAGCCGGATTTAAATTAGCACCCTACCGCCGCACCATTTTCTTTTCCTTCGAGCCGGAATTAAATTAGCACCCTACCGCCGCACCATTTTCTGGTCCAGTCGAGCAGGATTTGGAACTGGCGTCCTGTAGCCTGATCGAGTCGAACTGCTAAACCAAGTCTTTGGATAATGCACTCTAGTTAACACTAGTTAGATTTAGTTTTTTTTTCGCTTAGCACTACCGGGGACGGTACGCCGTATTGTTGAATTTAAAATTGCAAATAGTTGAAATTTCTTTGTAGATACACTCGCTTATACTATGGGTAAATAGACGCTTATTTAACTTGTCTGATCCGCCGTAGTTTTCTGTTTACTTAAATTCGCGATTCGTAATATTTATACGAATGTTATATATGATGCATTCTTGCATAAGTGCTTGTATAATTTGGTTAGTGTACGCTGCAAATAACGCATTCTAAATTCTTTCAAAGTCGTATAATACAGATTACATATATACATTAACTAGTTTACTTACCTCTTACCATGGGAGAATTTCACCCACCCACATCGCGCGTAATAAATTATTACATCTCGTTGCAGACTGCCCGCTCATAACCTAAAAACGTTATTGTCGGTTCCACTCCTACGGTACATAATATTTCGGCAACTTCTCATTGTTGCACCGCTGTTAAACCTCCCGAATTATTGACTCGCAATTTTCGGTTAAAAGAGGAGGGGAATGTTCCGCCTATACTTGGATCGGATAATAGATTATGCGATGAGTTGAAAAGCAAGACGTTAGAATCTATTAGTACGGAAGGAGGAATAGAACCTGTAGCAGTTTCATCGCAGCCAAAGGGAGCGAAGAATAGGGATAGCCCTGGAGCCAGGTTTATAGACACTGTAAAGAAGGCCCAGATTAGCAAGGTTAAATCACTCTGCGACCCGTCAGGTGACATTATCGGTGCACGTGTTCCGCGATACGGGACTCGAATCGATGTCGTCATCGGAAGTGCGTGCGACGCGGAGCGTAGTTGCGGCCACAGCGCACCGTGACGCCGAGCCGCTGCTGCAGAAGGTGTGCCGCCTTGGGAGCGACGGGATGGAGATGCTGAAGCCAATCTTGCTTGGCGGAAAGAGATAAAGTATTGGCGAGAAAGGGAGGTCAGGCTGCAAGTAGACCTATCCGCCTTATCGAAAGAAGTAAGGCTTCGCAAGCAACAGGCTCAGTATTCGAATATTCGTTTTATTCTAATATTCACCTCATATACTATTCGAATAAAATATAGAGTAATATTCGAATATTTCGAATTTTTCGAATATTACAAATAATATAAAGATAAACAGAATTTAATAGTAAATATATTTAAAACATGACCGGAATTTAAAAAAGAAGGATATATTTAATCATCACTATTGGCAGCACTAGTAACTCTTCGTAACAGCTTTTAAATAATGTTCATTTAAGGTGAAAGCGCCAGGGTAGCTCGCGAAATTTGCAGAAGTTGAATAAACTCTTTTTTCGAAAGAAGCATATTTGTCATTATTTTTGTTACTAAAGTCTATCTCGTAAGTCTGATAGTTAGTGATTTATGCCAATAAATATTTAAAAAAATGTTGTTCGTCTTATTTTTCTTTTGAATCTCTAATTAACTGTCAGTGTGCTATAAAACAACACGAATTACGTGCTATATATAAGTTAAAAGACATGCTGTTCCTTAAGTAGAAAGCATTCGAAAAATTCGTAATATTCGAATAATTTGAATAGTGTGTCGGGAACTATTTGAAATATTCGAATAGTAAAATTGAACGAATACTGCAAGCCCTACGCATAACTTCAGCGCTTGTAATTATTAATAGATTAATAATATAGTTTTTACTGATTTAAATATTAGTTTATTTCTGGTAGAATTATAAATTAATATTTTGCTTATTAGTGTTTCATATAAATGTATAGGTTAGTTACGCCACAGTAGGCCTCCAATTATATAATACAAAAATTGTATTATATAATTGGAACGAAAGATATAAATAGGTAATCAAAAACCTACGTAATCGAATCTTTGTTACAGTACGTTTGCACTGAGAACTTAACATCCAACACGTAATGTTTTGAAACAAATCGCATAACATAAATCACACAACATGTTTTGTTCGTGGTGGCGTTCGCATTCACAAAAACTGTGTAAAATCTTCAACAGATATTCTAACTTATTTTTCAACATGACAATATTTCTATAAATTTGTTTTCAAACATTTTGTTTCTGTAGTTATAAAGATATAATATAGTTAAAATATGTAATGTACAATAAACTGTCAAACGTATTTCGTTACATGTCCTAGGACTATGCAAACGCTTTTTGATAAATTGACAGAAAACAGTATTTAAAACACGTTTTTTTGTGAAAATCGCGTCAGTGCAAACTCACAGTTAAGGAACCGAAAAGTGGTTTACATAACATAATAAGAACGTTAATAAAATATAAGACGTGATGGTGATAATTACTAATGATGAGCTAGATTTTTTTTACCATTAGTAGGAAATTCAAAAATGATTAGAATAGAAATAAATCATTTTAATTCAATACAGATTACGAGAATACTTATTGAAAGTCATTTTAGCTTTACCACAGATTAGGAAAAAACCACTGTCCTGGGAAGGACCATCAAGAAACCTAGCGGTACTTTTTTAAATAAAGTTAATTAAAAATATATTATTTCAGTATTAATATGAAAACATTTAAAAACAGCACGGTAGCGATCACCTCATTCTCAGGGGCTATTTTTAATAGTATACCCTAATAATCCTTACTAAACAATTTTTGCTTCGTAAAAATTTTAAACTTTGATAGATAAGCCCTGCATATTTTCTAGGACTTTGTTATGAAAGCGTATACAATACCCCGTATGTATGTAACTAACTTGTGCTTGTTTGTCACCCTATCCTATAAAAAAATACGTGTGGCACTCGGGGACTGCCGCGGTAAAGCTATTGCATAGCATTTTTATCAACTTATGCTATTATAATTATTTATTTATTTTATTTATGCAGTATTCTTTTCTTTGTTTTTTTTTTCTTTGATATTAATTCAAGGTTTTTCTTTGATATTAATTCAAGTTACACATTTTAAGCGTGGTGACCGATAAGAAAATATTTTTTTCTTTTATTGAATAAATGAGAAGTTAATATTGTTTAAAATATTTTTATTATCTTACAATAGATGTAGGTTATTCAAGAATTTTTATCATTGAAACTATAGGTTTATGGTAATTAAGGAGTTCTTCCGACAAACGATAATTTTCTATAAAGTCTGTGTTTATTAAATACTCTAAATTCACGAAAATTGCTAGCATGACGACAACTCATATAAATCCAAAGAATATGCTTCTTGCAATAAACTATATTATTGTTTAAAATATTTTTATTATCTTACAATACATAGAACTAGTCTACACGCATACGTCTAGTAGCACGCACACAAACACCGTACCGAAGTCTGCCGAACAACGACGTTAGACGATGTTAGGTTTTCGAGTCTTAGGTTTTTTTCGTTACGGAATTTCTTGATTCGGTCGCTGCGCTCAAAACCCGCGATAAAAAGCTATGTAGCTCAAGATTGCTAGCTTAATAAAATAATTTTTGTTTTTACTTACGACAACTATTTCTCGCGAACGACGTTTGTTGCGTGATGGCGGGCGCTAGACTTATTATCAGTGTGAATGGATGTATGACCCCTTGTACCTGGAACCTGACTTATTTTGGGTGCTTCGCTGAGTTGTATAGCGAGATTCAGTCCACCTTTTTTATACCGTCCATGAAGTTTGTGAAGCTAAATAGTTATTACTTCTGACGTGTTGTCCTATGGCTGACAGCTTTGTCTTCTAATTTAGTTTATGTTGTACTTATCCTACGAATAACTTTATCTGATGATTTTAAATCATCCCAAAAATGTTTAAGAACTAAATAAAACAATCCTGTTAGATTGAGATTTATAGTTAGCCTTAGTCAGAACGACATTAACAAAAGAAAAAAATATGGATGGGTTACACCGTTTTTCTATACTTCCAGTCTTCGAAAAGTAGAAACAGTCGTAATAATTTTCACTCCGATAAAAATAAATCAGTTAACTTTTAGTACTTAATATACTTAATAGTTTTATATGTATCCTCTCTTATTTTTATAGGATTAATGCGCATACAGAAAATTCTAGCTGAATACACAGATAAGTATCCTGTTATTATACGTCAACTAGAGCCCGACGGTGACAACTACAAAGTAAGATAAATAGCGAAATATATTTCTTGAAATGTATATATACTATGACTGACCATATTTCTATATTTGTTTTTATACATTTTAAGGTGTTTAAGGAATTAAAAAGTGGTCAAGAAACACGGTTTTTAATTGACTGTCACGTGGATAACATTCTAAAATACATGGATATCGTAACAATGTTAAATTTAGATGACTTTTACCAGGTATGCTAAGTACAACCTGCCAAAGTTAACTTGAGACTCGAGTGGAATGCACTATACCCTCCCAACCCCATCCCGCTTACCACAATAAAATCGATCCGATCTGATTTTCGATCCACACCTTTGATTTATATTTGCTTGTCGTAATATTCTTTTTACGTGCGTTCTGCATTTTAATGGTTTTACCTCAGATTAATACGTACATAATTACTGAGGGTTTTACAGACCGTCCGATGATGACAAATATAGATAATAGCAGTAATACAACTATGAATTATCTGGAACACAACCTTTTTTAATATAAAATAAGCGCTTTCTAAATGTGAAATAAAATAAATAGAAAATATATGTACTACCAAGTAATAAATGAATTGATTTTTGATAGTATTTGACAAACGCTACATATTTGCATCCAGTACGGTGCACTTACTATTTTAAGAGTCAGTGAGCGGCAGACTTACTGTATTTCAATAAGCTTCACGCTTTTTTTAGTTAATCCCCTATACCTGAGGTACGTGGGATGGGGACTCTTTATTTTAACCGGCAGTTGATATAGAGATGCTTAAGCTTTGGTGTCCTCCAAAAGCGGTGACGTCATAAAGCGGATACAATATAATGGCCGTAGATCTTCTTTTTGTTTCTGTGGAATGTTCGAGACTTCGACGGCTATCTTATGAAGGAGTACATACCACAAAGTGTCAATGATTGCAAATGGACGACATTGATTTAGCGTTACTCGTATATTTGGAAGATGAGCAACCATCTGAAGACGATAATATTGGTATGGGTGAAAATGATTTATACAAAGCTCGTACTACTGAAGGGGCTTTTGAAATGTTAGTGCATCATTGTCTCCACTGCGACAACGAAAAGTTTAGTAAATCACATATGAGATGAATTAAGTTATAATCCCAACAACAGACATCAACAGCCAATATGTCCGGCACAAATAATGTACATATTTATTGAAATTGAATGTTATCCTATGAAATATATTTGGCCTTGGTCATTTATTGCAATTGTATGTTATCCTGTGGAATGAAATGTGTTTGTCCTTGCTCATTTAATGCAATTGTAGACACTGGGGGTGAAGAAACTAAACTAGAACCTGTATTCATTCTTGGTGTAGGAATCGTTAATTCGGAATAATCAGTAACAGTACTAGTACTAAAGGTTCTGGGCCTTGGTGAATTCATTTGATCTGAATCGATAGAAATATAGCGCGATTCTGCATTACTAACCAATGACCCAATTTGCATTCTAAGTAGTGTTCGTACCTTGGCAGGTTCCTAACAATTTTTGCCATGGAGCTGAAAAAGAGGTTAGTTTCATCGAAATAATTATGGGGAGATGATTTTCTGTTAACTATTTGTTTTAATAAATACAAACGTTCCTAAGCGTGCGAATTATTTTTCCGTTTCAGGTTACTCCTCATATTACCATCTTCTTTGAACTTTTTATTGATATCTTCATCATTATTACTACTTTCTTTACTACTGTCATTGTTATAATATGTATCAGTATTTTCTTCTTTGTTAAATGTCATATCCTCCGTTTCCTGATTTTGGAATGGTGTTTGTTCACTGCTATGCTGAGTATTTTCTCCTGGATTTTCAATTACGTCAGTAATGCTGTTTCTTTGTGAAGAAGGAATGCTGTCTAAGAACGATAGGAGATCGGATAATTTTTCGCTGCTTCTCCATTTGATCCAATACCAGGATTTCCTTTTCGTCGAATGTAATAATCCCTAATATAGCACCATCTCTTGTTGCAATCAGTATCTGCAAGAAATTTAAATTTAATAATAACATTATTTTTCATTACAGAAACATGGCTACAGGCGAGCCTTTTCGGTCACTTGCGTTTCAGTATCGAGTATGTCATATATGAATAACTGTCATAATTAATGAAGTCGGTGCGGCCCTTGTCAAAAAATTGTTCCATTTAATTATACCATCGCCAACGGAAAATGAACAAAAAAACATCAGTGACCAATATTCTTCCAAACGGAATTTTCCTAATTGCGTGGATACGATTGATGGTAAACATGCCATTTTGGCTCCCAAAAACAACGGATCGATATACTATAATTACAAAAAATATTTTTCTAAGGTCTTGCTAACAGTTGTCGATATGAACTATAAATTTATTGCCATTGACGTTGTTTCTTATGAAAGAGAAGGAGATGCTGGCATTTAATTAAAAAATTAATATAGGGAAAAACTTAATAAATTATACATTCAATATACCAGCGCCGAAAGCCCTGCCCGGAACAAATAATATTGTACCACGTGTTATATTGGGAGACGAAGCTTTTGCTTTTCACGAAAACCTAATGAAACCCTATCCAAGACAGCAATCAATACGTGATTCATCGAAAGCTGTATATGTATACAACAGGTTGTCTCGAGCTCAAAGCCCCACTGAAAATGCATTTGGAATTTTATGTGCTTACTTTAGACTGTTTTTCGTACCTATTGCTATAATTCCAAAAACAAGAGACAGATTAATGGTAGTTAATAGTTCTACATAACATATTACTAGAAGCAAAAGTACTAACTCCTGGTCAAAAACATGTTAATGACCAGCTTTCATTATCCGATAAAAATTTAATGCATATGGCAGAGCAGAATGTTCGAGCCAGAGCTAATCCCACTTAAATTCGAGTCATATTTAAATGTTACTTCAACGACCCAAGAGCCGTTGAGTGGAAAAAAAATTAAGCAACACAACACTAAAGATTGTAATTAACTGTAATCCGGCCTATAAATATCAAATATAGGATTTACGTTGTGTTCATACCTGTTTTATTTAGAATCTCCCCGACTTCACACCATAATTTTTGCTTCATTTGCATCCGTCTGTAGTATTTATGCTTTGAGTTATATATCTCATGAACCCGCACAAAATCAATTAAAATTTCGTCGTCCTTGCTGCTCCAGTTGGAGTTGGCATGCAAAAATATTTTAAAATGGCTTCACTGCTATCGAAAAAACTTCACAAACCATCCGACACTGACAAGACGGCCGTCATGCAAATGGCGGCACTGCTTTTGGATGTAATTTTAGTGATTCTGATTACGGTGTCAAGTACCGCTCTCTAGGAAACCACGCCATTTTGATTACATAGACAACGTTCTAGTGACGTCATTCACCGCTGTATTACGGCAGCTATATGACGCCACAGCTTTTGGAGGAAACTAATACTTTCGGATGTTGTTGATAATATTATTTAATAATATTATTAAGAACATATAAATGCAGCTTCATTGAAATAACGTAAATTATAAAAAAAAATATTTGTCACCCTATCTGCCATGACCTTGGAACTGCCATAGGTGTCTGCCAATTTTATTTTTCAGTAACTTTTATTGATTAGATAAGATAGATTTCAAAGCGGCAGACTTATTACTTTCACGCTTTCTTCGGTCATTTTTTTACACCTTTCACACCTGAGCTTTTATATATCAACCGTATGTCAAACTAAAGAGTCCTCATTTCATGTAGTTCAGGCATAGGGGATTAAAAAAAAAGTGAAGCTTATTGAAATACCGTAAGTCTACCGCTCACTGGCTCTTAGACCATATGTCATTCTCATAAGCATCACTTACACATGCACTTACATTCGAGTATCTGTCACACAAACACACATACACATATCAAATAAATTTAATATAAAGTCACAAGTGCTAATAGACCAATATATTAATATTCAATTAATACCTACGAATAAATAAATTATGTAGTAAAATTGACCACATAAAATAACTAACTTATAACATTGTTTAAAACTACTGTATTAAAAAAATTATATAATATTAATCTACTACCTATATTAATTTGTATTAATGTAGCTAAAGTTCATTGCCTTACATTTCTTAAAAATTTTAACTTTTATGGCGGTACTCATAAAAAAAAGAATTGAATATCATGTTAACTTTAGTATAAAACTAACTTTTTTTTTATCTCAAATATAAGTAAATTTAGTGATATAATATATTTTGTGTCATGGAGGAAGGAACTGCCATCTGTAATACAGCCTCGGCCTAGCACAGCCGGCAGTAACCGAAGTAAGCAATTTAAAAATTTGTAAAATTTGTACATAGCTTATTTTAAACATATTGTAAAAAAGCTTATTGTAAAGGAAAGGAATGTAATTACGCTAATCAAGTTTTTTATTATTTTTTCGTAGTCTCAACATGTTAACTTTGGCGGATTGCATATTATTAATTATATGTTAAATAAAAATGCAAATAAAATAAATAAAATATTTCAGCACTACATTTTCATCACTATGGACACTTCTATTGTGGCTCATAAACTTAATGACTTTCGTTCTAATATCACTTGGCTCAGTATCACAGAATATGATAAATTAGTTGACGCACAACATTTCTTAGCTCAAAGAGTAGAGAAATGGGCAATTAATACCATATCTCCTCCTGTAACCGACATGCCGGTAAGTTGTACTTAATAATTCAAACAATACCATACTTATTAATAACGTCAAGTTAATAACTTTACTTTGTGCTAATAAAGTCATTTATAATATATTATTTTATCATTACTCATTAAATACTTCACTTTCAGATAGAAGCTTTGCTTATGAATGACGTGGCAAACCATGTTATGAAGGCTCTAACAACCTTAGACAAAAAGACATCAATTCAGAAACCACCAGTATTGTCTTGTGACTCTGATGCAGAAAGTTGGGAATATGGGGCGTTACTACAACAGGAAATTTTAAAAGTTGACTTTATATTATTATAGTTCTTCTAGAAATAATATACCACTTATCAGTGCCATTATTTTTAATATCTAAACAATGATGTATGTTGCTACCAATTGTGATGTATTGGACTCCACGATGATGATGCCATTCTTGTCGGTTTTTGACTATGAGGATAAATGTCAAATATTTGTAAAGTAAACTTTGACGTAAAGTAGTGGCGTAAAAGAATACGTTAGTTACCGGAGTATAGTGGGTAACGTAGAAGACGACAAAGGGAAACTGAAACAGAAGATTTTTACATGGTAGAGCCACGCTGCAGCTATATTATGGTTGCAGCACGAATGGTTCGATGGCACGAATGTACTACGCTCTCACAGAATACCCACGCGAAGTATCAGCTTAATGCCGTTCTTTTACTGGAAACGAGGCATTCTATCTTAGTTTTCAGGGATAACAACGAATCTGCATTTTGATTTTTAACTGAGGATAAACCTTCTCCTATGAAATGTATGGACAGGGCAATGTTTCTGATGACAGCCTAAAATAATAAAAAGCTGCGGTTGACAAACATCCTACCAAATATGGCAACTGTGGAAAATATCCCCTTTAAAAAGCAATATATGGAGGAAATATCCCCTTTCTTAACCTACCCTGTACCCGCTACTGTAACATTCAACCTAAATTTTATGATCGTTATGATCATTAGAACCCATCACAAGTCAACTACTTAACACTGTTCTCCGGATTTAGTGACGATCTCGTCGATTGCCATGTCAATTTTCTATCTACAGGAGGGGCCGACCTACACTTAGCTTACCGATTGGAGGCTGCCACTCGTGAATTATTTCTTATTGAAAATACGCCCTGCGTTAAATTAATACATTTTGAATTAGTATGGTGTTTGTTTTATACTAAATAATAATCTTTTTATATAAAGAATTTATAAATATCTGAAAAATCCAAAACTCCAGCGCTCCAGTTCTTCTGCTCCGTGACCACATTTTCCACGACTCTATTTAAATTTAATTTTAACAGTAAAATCCAATAATTTATCTAGGCTTACAAGTAGTACTAAATAATAATAAAATATAATATAATAATAAAAATCAAAGAAATATTTCCAGACACAAACAACAGGCGTCTCCGGGAATATAGAATTCGATGAAATCGGTAGAAGAATTAATTACACGTTATTCGTAAATGAAATACACCTTAAGAAGAGGCAAATAATTGGAAAATGGGAATCGTCATCTGGAGATCATATAATAGAAGATAGGCCAGAATCAGACAGCATTGGTAATCAACAAACTAGAAAACATTTTTACGTAAGTACATCAATCAAGACATAAATATGGACACGATAATTTTAACATTACTCGTTTAACAAATGTATCTTATACATAATTTGTACTGGCAGAACTGCTTTCCTGTCTAGGAGACCGTCTGGGAATAACTTACCTATTTCTGACGTTAAGTAACAGTGCCTGCATTTAGAAAGCCAAGAACTCCATCTTAATCACTGACCTCTATACATTCACATATATATATATATATATATATATATATATATATATATATATATATATATATATATATATATATATATATAGGTCAGTGATCTTAATACTCAGAGGTGACAACGGATTTATTAGATTTCTTTGTCTGAAATGGTGACTATGAGCACCGTCTTACCATCATGTAGGTATGGCTATGGTATTCGCTTCCCTTGCACAAATGGGTGCCAACCCATATAAATATAAGAAAATAATTTATAATAAATCACTAACACTAGCACAAAATTTGTGTAACTACTTATATTCTATAGGCTTCACCTTAAATAAATAATTATTTATTTATAATACACAGATCATATCACGAAAAGCCAAACCTTATTTTTACGAAAAGGAAAAATGCAATTCCGAGGAGTGTGAGGAAGACGATGGCGAAAAATATGAAGGATTTTCTGTTGATCTCGTCAAACAAATTTTTGAAACACTAAAGGAAGAAAACTATAACTACACGTATTCTTTTAAATCTGATAAAAATTACGACTACGGTACTTACGATAAAGACAAGAAGAAATGGAACGGTTTAATTGGAGAGTTGTTGGACAAAGTAAGTAAAATAGTGCTGTACGTAATTTACATGTGTATGTATAATACGAACGTGCGGTTACGCACTGCTACTACACCACAATGTTTGTTTTTACAAAGGCCCCTCCAATAATTGTTTTTACAAATAAAGAACTTTAAACATAGCACTAGTAATATAATTAATTGGATGATAAGTCGCTCTCGTTCGTAGGCTTCGACCACCTAATCCTATGCCTACCCTACACATGTCCCCCGGTTGGTGCTAAACGAGCGACAAAGCCGAAAGAACAGACTCGGCTCCTCGCTGTGTGATAGCGGGGTAAAATATACCACCCCCTAGTTACGCAGCATGAGGTAAAAAAGTACAGAAATGGTCCCATGTTTCTGGCTCCCTTTTAATTAGCAGTTGTGCTAAGAATCTCCGGGAGGAAAACTGGCGACGAGGTTCACAAACCGTCAGGTTTTGTCTTCTGGAGGGGAGAAAAGAGGACTGTGGAAGCCCGTGTAGCTACGCTAAATGTATGTGGAGCAATGAATGATAAGATGGATGAAGTATGCGATATGATGTATGATAGAGAAATAGATGTGTTATGTGTAAATGAGACGAAATGGAAGGGAAAGGATGCTACGTACTATGCCATATGTTATGTATACCGCGTACTGGTCTGGTGTAGATGAGACTGAGCGGACATGCCAGGGAGTCGGTATCATCCTTTCAGAAAGAATGGGTCAATTTGTGAAAGAGTATGAATATATAAGCCCGAGACCGCTATGGATGCGAATGAAACTGATCTTAAAGAAGTTGTTTGTTCTAGGGGTCTACGCCCCAGACATGTCTAAGCCCACTTATATCCGAGAGCAGTTTTGGAAGATGGTAAGGATGGTGTTAATGAAATGTAAGGGAAATGAAAATCTTGTTTCTTAGGAGCTTTTAATGGAAGGATTTGAGTGAAGAGGCTTGGTAGTGAAAGGATATTGGAAACGTTTGGTGACGAAAGTATAAATGAGAATGGTGCACGCCTCCTCACCGTATGGGTAAAAAAAGAATATTTTTGTGACGTGAACACTTTCTTTTGTCCTAAGCAGATTCACATGTATACGTGAAAAAGAGGTGATGATAGAAGCATGATATATTTCATAACTGTTGATGAAAGAAAGAGGAGCGCAGTAGTGTATATAAGGGTTTGCTGGGGACCAACGTAGGGACGGATCATTACTTGGTCTAATGCCAAATTAATGGTTTATTCAGACGTCGCCACATTGGACATCTGTGTCTACCACTGCGTTACAGCGATTACAGAGCGAGAGAAAATGTATTTGTTCGGGATGAATTGTGTATGAATGAATTAGACTTGGAGAATGTGTGGCATGATGTTCAGAAAAGTTTAGTGGATGTAGCTACCGAAGTATGTGGTGTTAGTAAGAGAACGAATGAAAGGAAAAGTAACACGTTATGGTGTGATGATGATGTGTACGTATGAAAGTTGAAGCAAAGAAGAGAGCATGGCTAGATTTACAAGCAACCAAAGCTGGCAATTCTATTGGTTATTCTAAAAACGGATAAGAATGATAGAAAAATATCGGATAACTTCCAGGCAAATATTAAAATGTTCTGGAAACTCGTAAAAACTGCCAGGGGAGATTCAAAACAGCCTAGATTAAATGCTATACGAGACGAGAATGGCTGTATTCTGAGTAGTGAAGTTTTGAGTCTAAAGAGATGAAAGAAATATTTTTAAATTCACGATGCTGTGTTAGTCCCTACTTTAACGTATGGTAGTCAAAGTTGGGTGTGCCAGAAAAAGCACGAGAGTAGAATAAAAGCAGTAGAAATGCGGTCGTTAAGGAGTATTTTAGGGCTGAATCTAAGTGACAGGGTAAGAAATTGTGTGATAAAAGAAGAGTGTGGTTTGCAAGATGATGTTGTGACCAGGATTAAAAAAGAAATGCTTCGGTGGTTTGGTCATGTAGAAAGAATGAATGAGTGATCAAGCGACTTTATATAGCAGAAGTGAACGGAAGAGTCAGAAAGGGGTATCCTAGGCGAAAGTTTACCGACCAAATTGGCGATTTATTGAAAATGTACCAAATTAAGAGTACCCTTAACCGATGAGCATGTATGCGTAGATATATGGATGTGGAGGAGGCCTGAGAAGTATGTCAGAATCGTGCTAAATGTTAGTTTGTAGTCTCTGCCTACCCCTCTGGGTGACAGGCGTGAGTGTTGATGTTTTATATTATGTTATTTTAATTATAAAAAGATGGTACGAGAAGAAGTGATAACCTGTTAAGACATGTGTGCATGGATGCAGATGACTCAGGACTGTTATACGGTATTTCTCGGGGGAGAGCTGTTTTTAGCAGTGGACTTGAGACTGACTATAATTATGTGATAATATTAAATAATATTAATAATTAATATTAAAACCAAATGATTAAATTAGCTAAAATATATAGCTCGATTATCGCTCGCTAAGCTAATATATATAGGTAATATATATAGCTCGTAAAATCTAAAAAGTCAGGTAAATAGGTCTTCGAGCACTCAATGCGCGACAGTAAAAAGTAAATGGATGTCGATTGATAGCACGCTTTAAAAGAATTAACAGCTATGAGCTTTTTATAGACTGCAATCATGATAATTCTTTTTTATGATTTTCAAATGTATTGAAAATGCATTTATTTTCGTCTTGGACAAACATTTATCCAAGATAAGATCACAAGAAATTAAAATTTCTTTTGTCACGAATGTCAAGGTGTTTTTGTCTAATATCGTCCCTCTGTCCGGAGATGAAACGGGGAAAGAAACTCCGCAGGCTCCGCACTAACGCAATCTTCGTAATCCCAATGAAAAGTTATAGAAACATGCCTGCATGATTTATAAGTAGGTAATGAATAGAGAATAGAATTTTATATTTATAGCATATTATAACTAACAAGTATATTAGGACGATTTTATATAAAACCGCCACAGTTTTCAAACTTTAAGTTAAAAATAAAAAATGAGGCTTTGGTCCGGTTGCTAAAAAAATTCCTAACACAATATTTTTTATCCGCAGAAAGCTGATTTAGCAGTTTGTGATTTGACAATTACAGAAGAAAGAAAAAAGGTTGTGGACTTCTCTGTACCTTTTATGTCCCTGGGAATAAGTATTCTGTACATCCAGGAAAAGAAAGCGGACCCTGAAATGTTCTCTTTTATGAACCCATACACCTTTGAAGTATGGATATGCGTTGCTACAGCATATTGTATTGTCTCTATGGTTTTATTTGTTTGTTCAAGGTAATTGTTTTTATATTATAAAAGGATAAACTTACAAGAGTACTATAGTTGAGATAGAAATAATATATAGTAACAATAACATTGTGAAGGTGGAAAACTTCTTTGATATCGTGAAATTCATCTGTCGGTTGAAATTTAAGTACAAAAATATTTTTACATTTTTTCACAAAATAATTTGTACATAAGTTTTCAATGTTCAAAAAGTTTCGATATTATCTTATCTATTATCGGAAGTAGAAATAATATGTGAAGTATGCTATTTTTTAAATGTCATTGTACGTCACATGTGTCATATTTGCCACACTTGGCAGACGAGTTGGCAACCGCATTTTTTTTAAATTAAATAGACACCGCTGCCCATCTGGTCTTGATAGTACCATTACTTATTCTGTGCTATAGTTGGCACGCTTGGTTGGCGGGCAATTGTTATCAGCAAGACACTGCTGCCCATCTGCTGCTTCTTTTCCCTCTGTCGCCTCTTAGAGAACCCAAGGGATGATAATTTATGGCGGATTTTCTAAAGCTGCCACTGTACGGCGCGGTGTAGCGGTGTCAGATATTTCACTACACCAAATTCACTAAAACAACACTCAACAAACTTCATACGTATTATACAAAGAGATTTGATAGTAACATATTATAGTAATTATATTCCTTTCTTGGTTCGTCTGTGGGTCCGTCCCGGGATGCAGTGTTTCTGTGTGCTGGTTCGTTAGTTTGTCTGTCTGATACAAACATTCAGTTACTAAGTTAGTTACTGAAAGTTTGTATCTTTCAATTTTTCCTTCTCATAAATACCTAGTTTTTGTGACGAATAAAGAACCAATAAATTATATTATAACAAAACTACTAATTCGACGCGAATGAAGTTGCGATCACAGTATAAACAGAATGGTTTCTCCGTGAATTCTGCAAAGCGCGCAAAACATCGTTAATTAAAAACAAAACAAAATATGGTAAATTATGTAGGATGAGTTTTAGTCATCAAAATATTATTGCTCATTTTTTAAGCCTATTGTTACGCGCTCAACGTCATACACTAGCGCCATCTAGTGTCAGGAACGAGAGCGAGGGGAGCTTTGCAGAAAATGACATCACAAATCTTTACCGACAGCGCCATCGAAGAACTAAGTTTCTAGAAAATCTACACTTGAACACTCGTCGCTTTGCGCGCATTTACTTGAATATTCCGGATGCTTCATTGCTAATTTGTATATAGCAAGATGCGATCGGGGCAGTATTAGATTTGGCGAGACAAGCGAAGCTTCGGAGCGGAATAAAGTGAATTAGTGTGTTTAATTATTAGTGTTTTAAGTTTTAATTTGTGTAAAGAAAATTAAAGTGTTAATTTAGGTAATTTTATCGGCAATTTTTATTGTCACGAATCTCAAGCTCGTAACACTATCTTTAAAAAAAAATTCCATTATTATAATTATACATTTAAAACATGACTATTATGTTTATATCCCTTGACATTTACCAGGATATCACCTGCTGACTGGGAAAATCCACAACCTTGCGATAAGGATCCGGAGGAACTTGAAAATATATGGAATTTCAAAAATTGTGCCTGGTTAACAATGGGCTCTATTATGACACAAGGATGCGATATCTTGCCTAAGTATAATTGTTTTTTTTTTAATAATTATTAAATTTGTAGTAACATATATCGTATCATAAAAATGTTTTTAAAACGTGTGCAATTTTCCTCGTTTTAGAGCATTTGGCACAAGATGGGTCTGCGCTATGTGGTGGTTCTTCGCTGTAATTGTCTGTCAAACATATATCGCCCAGTTGTCAGCATCTATGACTACAGCTTTAGAAAATGTACCTATTAATAGTGTGGAAGATTTGGCAAACCAAAACAAAGTTCTATACGGTGCTGTTAAAGGTGGCTCCACATTTAACTTTTTTAAGGTGCTAAAATTACCTTAACTACATGATTATGACATAATAAAAAAAAACACAAAATTAAGAAAACTTTTTAGCACGCAGAATAAATTAATTTTATAGTACGTTATACACGGGGTAACAGGGACAGATCATCGGTGAATGGGGGTTAGAAGACCTCAGTACCTAACTATTTAAGCCCCCTATATGTTCTGGGATATTCAGTGATTAAAAAGTTTTTTTATAGAATAAGGGTGACAAACGAGCACACAATCCACCTGATGGTAAGTGGATGCTGTGGCCCATAGACATCTACATTTATACTCGATTAGGAATCAAAATCCAGATGCGTTGTCACGCCTGAGGACTAAGATGGAATGCCTCGATTCCCGTTAAGAGGATCTTCGGTTCTCTACACTCACCATACGAAACACAGCGGCATAGAGCTGCTATTTTACGCTGGTATTCTGTTAAAACGTGGTTCTTCCCCAGTCGAGCCGACCCATTCGTGATACAACCATTATATAGCTGCAGCATGGCTCTACCACAAATATATTAATAATAAATATACATTTTTTCCAAAGTCCAAACTTTGGTAAAAATTTTAATCAAAATCAGATTTTAGCCTAAACTTCGTAATTGCAGTAAAACTATTAGGTCTGCGAACATGACTTCTTTTGAAATACAATTTTGGACCTTTTTTACCATTACACGAATCAAAAGCTAAGATTTATAAACATCCAAATAAAACACTATAGTCAATTTTTTTTTTCAGAAATCTTATGTTTATATTAATTTTCTATGGTTCTAAAACAAATATTTCACATACTATTTTTGTCTACAACCTATCTTAAAAACTACTGGTTTTTATAAAAAATTAAACCTGAAAATTGCATTTGAAAAATGTACTTAAATAGCCCATACGCCAAAAATAGTCATTTTTTCTTTAATTTAAAGTTTACATAAAAATTTAAGTAAGCCTATTTTGTGTAGCGTACGCTACTCTAGTAAGTAAAATGACAATATAACTACACAAAAGGATGGGAATGAGTCAACTAAAACACACGAATATGTACAGTTAAAATATTATTTCAAATCTTTAACACGCTTATTTACAGTATATATTCTAAATGAGCTCCATTATTAGCGATACATAGCCTAAATATTTTTATAAAATTTCTTTTGAGCCTGTGGATAGAAGTGCAAGATTTACTACGTGCGAACTATTCCTGACAAGTCACTTTTTGTTAGGATATGATAATTGAATGCGACGCAGATGAGAACTTTTTTGATAGCAAACTCCTGATGGGACTGTTCGAGTTGCCAGCCATATTGACTAGGCACATGGACTATTTAAGTACATTTTTCAATGTGATGCTTTAATACTAGCCAAATGCAATTTTCAGTGTTAATTTTTCATAAATGCCAGTAGTTTTTAAGATATAGGTTGTAGATGAAATAATATGTAAAATATTTATTTTAGAACCATTGAAAGTTAAAGTAAACATTATATATTGAAAAAAAATAGACTATAGTTTTTTATTTGGATTTTTATATATCTAAGCTTCTGATTAGTGTTAGGGTACAAAAGTCCCACTGTTTATCATGTTTGAAAAAAATCACGGTCGCAGACCTAATAGTTTGGCTACAATTGCAAAGTTTAGGCGAATATCTAACTTTGACAAAAAATTTACCAAAGTCCAGATAACTTTTGAACCACTGAATATCGCAGAACATACAGACACACAGGGTAATGAGGACCTCTAACCCCCAGCCACCGATGATCAAACCCTTTGTTACACCGTGTATAACATTCGTCCCTTATTATTTATTAAATTTCCAGAACTCAAAAGATAAAATGTATAAGCGAATGTATGAAAATATGATCGCTAATGATGTAGTTTTAGTTAGAAACAATGATGAGGGTGAGAGAAGAGTTCTTGCCGGTAAAGGAAAATATGCTTTTTTCATGGAATCGGTAACTATCGAATACAAATTAAAAAGAGAATGCGATCTAAAAAAGGTCGGCGTAGAATTGGATTCAAAGGATTATGGTATTGCTATGCCTGCAAGTAAGTTATCCATTCGTCATGTATTGTTATTTATTTTTAATTTATACAATATCTATAACATTAAACAACTCTATACGATGTATTGGCAAGAAGGCTAGCTGTGTTACCAGGCTAAATGGCTCTAGCCATTTTTCTCTCAACAGTTATAATTTACATTATAAAATATACCATATGCTACGCAGAAAATTTTTGAAAAAATGTTTTCATCGTTTTTTAATGAAAAGTGGATCAAGAACATGTTCGCCGAAAATCAGACGAGTTTTTTTGAAAGAAAAAAGGTATAAATTTATGGGTATAGGTACCAATGCTTTTGCGGGAAGAAAACGTATTAAAATATATACAAAAAGAAAAGACGAATTAAATGTAAAAACATTCAGGACATATTGCAGATTAGGTTGAAAAACGTTCACGATATTTTACACGAACACTTTCGCGTGACGATGATAGATAGATAATTTATATGTATCGCAAAATCTTACCGATGCCCAGATGGTAGTTTCAAAATAAACTGGAATAATCTGACAACTATCTGCCGATTACAATCCGGATGTCCTTCAAGTAAAAAATGAATAGGCTTTTGTTACGCTAGAACAGGTGGGATTTCGGTTAAGCACTATCTTATAATCTTTAAATAAGTAAAAGATTACTCCTACCAAAGTGAAGAGATCGAGAAACGCAGAGAAATTTAGTCATATTTAGTATAGTTTTCATGAGTTTTTTCACTTTGTCGAGATACCTGGTCATAAGTTCTTAACAAAACCCATGTAGCATCTATTCTGAATGGTATACTACCAAATATTTAAATAAAACTAGTTTTTACTAGTGTTGGGATTTAATTTTATACTATAATACCTACTATTAAAATTAGGATGTTTGTTGATTTCAATAGCCTCGCGAATCATCATTGGAAGAAATTAGTGTTCTTTAGCGAGGATTTGTGGTTTAGCAAATCTGATTTAGTGACGGGGGCGATCCTCTACGTGTTCAAAAACTGCAGACTTCCCAGAGCGTCGATTCTTCGCATCAGCTATATGTTTTTTAACGCGGATTTTAATCGATCTTTTAGTTTGTCCTATGTAAGACAGACCACATTCACAATGTTGAATTTTATTTAAATGTATAGTGTTCGCGTAAATATAAGAAACCATTACCAAATATTTGCTAGAATCGTACACTGTTGTGAGCGACAAGCCACTGAGCACTATCAAAACCATAACCATATGTATTGTACTTAACAAAACTTTTTGAGTAGCCCACGTAGACATAAGTGCATAAATAAAAAAAATCTAGAGAGCTTATAATAACCAAGCATTCTTATATTATAAATAATCATCTATTTTCGATTAGAATTCTTCTTGCATGCGCCTTAAATTTATGCAAAGGCAACTAGGTACTATTATAGAGAACTTGTCTCCTCTTTATGTTCCTTAATCTGGCATTTTATATGACACGAATGGTTCCCTTCATGAAAGTATTTTCAACATCAGGGGAACTAAGTCTTCTTGAAAAGTATGGTATCACTAAAAAAAACTGTCGATTTTTCGTATTTGATTGTTCAACTTAATATGTGTACCTGCCTTACATTGGTACATTAAAGACATTTCGTTTTGTTTGCTTTTTTGATTCAGGAGCAAGTTAGGAATATTTGTTGTTTTTAACCAGTGCAATGCTTGATATTTATCGTTTACATCGTTAAATGAGAAACAACAATAATCAACAAACCTATAACAATTTTAAAAATTGGTGAGGTATCATTAGCAAATAATGCATAAATTTTAAGAGAAAAGTTTTTCAGGTAGACATCATTACTATAGTATACTAGTTTTATTAGTTTTAGTTTTGTCTTTTTTTTCTAAATGCGGTCTCCAATTTAGTTGGTTATTTAAGATGATTGGAGGATACTTTTCTTGTCATTTCTTTTTAAATTTCACATTATTTATAAGGAGTTGAATATTAGCCTAAATTTCATTGCTTTTTCTACAAAAAATAACGAAATTTGGTTAAGAGTTAAAAGATTGTTTTTAAACCAATCGTTGACATAATTTTAACCCCAAAACTAGTAATCGAGTGGCTATAATAGAGTACACTGGTGTCATTTGCACACAAACCTATGTCTCCTATTATGTTTATTTTGTATAATATAATAAAATAACGGTGGCTATACAATCAAGTTCTGGGGCACACAAGTAGTAAGTCAGAGGTTATTCTGTCACTCAATATTTATATTTCACTCCATATTTCTGACAACTTGTCTATGATCTGGTAGGTAAGAAAGTAATACTTTGGTGCGTTTCTTCTAACGCCGAAATTTTATATCTTTCTAAGTAGGTATTTATTATTAATATTTCTTAACTCGTTAGCGATTTTTTGTGATAGTAACTTTTCGGTTTTTAAATCATATTTGCTGTTTTGCTTTTTCCATCTTTTCAAACCTCTTCAATTATTTCGTTTCATTTTACTTTTACCTTACATTGCCTTGGTATGTACGTTTATATCTTGTTTGATTAAATCTTGCCTAGGTGTTTAAGATTTTAGATTTCTCTTTCACTTACTATGGATGTAAAAAAAAGATTTTACTTAAATGCATCTTACCGGTGGTGATTTAAGACGATTATTATCTAAGACAAAATACCAGAATTCAACAAATCTAACATGGATGGCAAGGTTGTAAAATTGCGATATACTTTCTCGATACATAAATCTTAGTACATAATCTTCTGGTATCAATGATATTCAATCTTCTGGAGACAAAATACATTTAAGCTAATCACTAGACATAGTTCCTTGTTATTACGTCGTGGATTCTTGGATTCCTAGCCAGAACCAACGTTTGCATAAAGTTAAAAAGAAATTACATTTTTTGAAATAAAACTCGATTAATTCAGAACTCAATTTTATCAGAGGAGATGACGAGACATTTGGACGAGTCTGCATTTTCGTGTGCAGTTGTGTCAATGTTATATCTCCCGTGAAGTTTATAGCTTCCGACTATTGAGAAATTACGAGGAAGAAAAATCCTTCTGGTCTATATGTTAAGTAGTTAAGTTTCCATATATCGTACATTGTTATGTAATTTTTTGCTTAGAGAATTGCACCCGAAATATAAACTAGTTTATTTTCAAAGATTTAAATTTATCATGGTCATCATAATCATTACAGCCCATCACTAGTTCATTACTGAACATAGGCCTCCTCCAAGAAATGTCAAAAAGCACGGTCCTGAACAACCTGCATATATCGATTTCCTGCATTTCTTACCAGTTCGTCAATTTTATTTGTTTCAGACTCCCCCTTTAGGACTCATATAAATAGAGCTATTTTGAAATTAAAAGAATCAAACGCTTTAGATAAAATTAAAAGGAAATGGTGGGAAAATAAATATGGAGCGAAAACTTGTAAAGTAAGCAACATTATATGATGAAATCTAATTAATTAATAAATATATCGACATTTATACTGTTGTCTTTTTCCAGAAACCAGATGACAAAAATGATGTCGAAGGTGACTTGGAAATTGAAAATTTGATTGGTGCTTTCATTGTTTTAATCGTAGGTCTTATACTGTCGCTATTCATTACTGCAGCAGAATTTATGAACGAAGTACGAAATATAGTTATTCGTGAAAAGGCGAGTTTTAAATTTTTTACATAAATTAACATGCTTAGAAATGAGAAACTGTTAGTGATATAATCATGAAAAATATTGATTACTGTAGTAACGTACAACTATAATTAGAACAATTTTTTAAAAAAATTTTCTCTTTTTGTTAATTAGACAATTTAGTTAATACCTACTGTTTAAAATGTCTGTCAATTTAGTCAAATGTTAGTACATAACTTAAATTCTTGAGTAGTTGTAAAATTTGCCTTTAAACTTTATATAATGTCTCAAAATTTTAAAATAGATGTGAATTGAAATTATTCAAATAAAAAATTGACTACTCAAAAAAATCTCCAAAATCATAAACATGAATTTTGTTTCATATGCAACCAATAAAGGAATAAAACCTATACACTTTTAATGTAGCATATAAGGTCCATTGCTAACAAATATTACAATTTCAGGTGACACATAAGGAAGCCTTTACCAAGGAGTTAAAAGCGTCGTTGAATTTCTTTCAACTTCAAAAGCCTGTATTCCGCAACCCTAGTCGCGCTCCATCTCAAGCTTTTTCCACCACCAGTGTTACTAAAGAACAACGTCATAATGCAATCGATAATTTCCTAGATTTTGAAAAAGATCATCAATAAAGAGGATTTTTATCATAATAATAACAGTGATATAACAAAATGCTAGATATTTAAAAAATGCTACCTAAAATAGTATCTCTATTTTACATAGCATTTTTTTAAATATATAGATAAAAAGAAAGAGCAAGAAGTAAAAGGTTAATAATTTAAAGTTGATGGTTTGTTGTGATAAATTAAGAGCTTGAATGAATAACTTAAATTATTGTTACAAAGTAGTTTTTGTCACAATACTCAATGCGAGTTCGTTTGTAATAATGAAAAAAAAATGTTTGTCTATAAGTATTTAATGTATATTGCGATGGTTTAATGTTTCAAAATATAATTTTCGTCTATTATTTAGTCTTTAACTTGAAGATTCCCTTGAATTTCAATCTCATTTAAAGCGTGTCAAAACTTGGTAGAAAATATAAAGCTATTTTATCATTTGTTATACATATTATTATTCAATACGTAGAATGTATACCTAATTATAAGATTAATTAATTAATAAAGCAAATAAATTGAAAAACGATAAAAAAGAAATGAATCATGATATTCTATGTACGATAACATTTATCAGACAAGGATTATTTTTCACAATTGTTTATACCAGTGCGACACAAGTTACTAATTTATTCAGCAATAAAATTTGTATTTTAACTACGCAGAAATATGTATGTCAATGATTATATTCATTGGTTTAAAAAGTACGCAGTAATATATAACAAAAAACTTTATGGCCAATTACAACAACGTTCACCTCATAAATCTATAGAAAGTTTTCATCTATATACGCATTTCATCTATGCGTATAGTAATGCATATTGTGCCAAAAGTTTGAAATAGACTGAGATGCAGTATCAAATATACGGTTATTATCAAATTCCCATGAAGCTTGAAAAATCAGAAAAAGAAAAACCTAGAATGTGCAACATATGAAGCGGGTATTTGACCAAAAGGCCGTATGTTCCCTAAATATTACACGGCACACCGTGGCCCAAAATAACATTAACAAAATTAAAAAGTAAAAATTTTAAAAATTGATTTTTAAATGAGTTTTAACATCTTATTGTCTTTCTTAGAGGTAACGCTTTACAGAAATATTGATTAGCATTATTTAGCATACCCTTCCAAAGGTGTGTGACAAATCCTAGAGGAAGTACGAAAAATTATACTAAATTCTATTAAGCCCATACCTCTATCTATATTTTAATTATTTGAATATAAATTGGCCTTATAGTTTCGTATAAAATAAGATGTTTTTTTAATAACTTTGAATTAATTTAATTGATTTTTAAAAGTAATAAAGTAATTTTCCGTATGTTCTTTTAATTTGGTAAATGTTATATTTTTGGCTACGGTATACTATATAAAATTTTTGAAAACGCGCGGCCTTGTGAGTAAATACCTGCCAGATTCTTGGTTTCGTAACTTATTTTGGTTTTTTAATTACATTGTGATTGTAACTGTGGGTCTGACATTCCATCTTAGCCTATTTTAAATATTTTAGCATATTATGCGTTAGATGGTATAAATTTCGGAATTTTATATTTTGAATTTATATAAAAATGCAAAATGTTAATTTTTCTGCTAACTGTAGTTTTTACAACTTGATGATAGTTGACACGATGAAAGTTGTAAAACTTTCATAGTCCACCTAAACTAAAAGATTTTTTTATATTATGCACAATATCACTCTTGACTTCCAATATTTAATTTGGTCACTATTGTATCAATTATATTTTTTCCGTTAGGTCGAAACATAAATATAATATGTTACTACTCTGTCAATAAAGTACCGGGAGAAGATCAATAATACACGAAATCTCAGTAATTGATCCAAGTTTATTTTATCACCTTTAAAGTATGCTCCTTCAGCACTTTCTTCAACGAATAATCCAATCATCAAAACATTTTGTAAACGCTTTTTCCGGAATTGAGTTCATTTCTCGCTACGAATTCTCGAAAACGATTCGATTTTAACGAAAACGAGTGCCACAAAGTGCTAATTTGAGACTAGGAAAAAGAATGAATTCGGCTTAAGTCATATGCAGTAAATAAGGTGGTCGCTCGATGGTATTTGTTGTTTTTGGTAAAAATTCGGTTATAATGATGGCCTTGTGTTCGCGTATTATCGTGGTGCAAAATCCAAGAATTTTCTTTGCACAAATCTGGCCTTTTTCGTTTAATTCGCAGTGCCCGCGACTTCGTTTGCATAGAATTTACTAATTTTTTTGAAGTTTTATTTCTTGGGACTATTGATTATATTTTATAAACTAGATCACTGTTTCAACCCAAACAATGATAGTATTGATAACTTTAATATACTGAGTAATTAAATGATTAAACTGATTAAGTGCATAGAGGATTCAACACGGAGGATGTCGTGTCCGTTCAATATTACATTTAAATGAAACTAAGCAACGTAGATATGCACTAACATAATATAAAAAAGAAACTAAACATGGGTTATCAATTACTCTAATTTATATAAAAAATAAGGAGGGAACGACAGTTTGTTTGCTGTGTAGTAGTGGCGTAAATGAATCCATCACTCCTCAACGTGCACCATCACACCTCCTGGAGGTGGTGGTATGGTAAGAGGCGACTATGGGAAATGCCAGAAAAATGTAACGACTTTTGATATATAGCGCTATAAACAAATCGGTTACGTCGGAAACAAACTGCCAAAAAATACCCAGACTGGTTATTCGAACGCAGACTATCTTGTCGTATTGTATTGCGATAGTCAATTTGTCTGCAAACCGTGAAAATTATAACAAATCACTCCTGAAGTGGGAGAGGTCTATGTCCTGCAGTAGACTTTTAATGATGAAGGATAAAAGAAGAATTGATAATGTTTGCGTCATAGAGCAATGCGATAAAACTCTGACTCGTTATACACAAAAAGTTTGGCGGCCATCTCTCTCAAACTTAAATGAGGATTTTCAGTCAATATTTCCTTCACTTTTGTGATATAAACTTCAGTTGCAGACGTTGATGGCCTACCAGAGCGAGGCAAAGCTTCTATCACATCTTGACCGCTTCTGAACGCCTTGTACCACTCATAAGCACGTGTTTTTGATAAATCCGAATTGCCGTAAGCCCTCTATAATATTTTCAGTACTCCGAACACGAAATATAATTAAAAACAGCACTGTATTTAATCTAAATAACAGATGTAACACAAACTCCGCGCCGAAATGGAAAACAGTTGTAGCAACCTAACAACAACAAAAAAAATTTTTTTTGTTGTTAAGATACAATGAAAGAGTAAAAAAAAAAAAAAATGTTAGGAGTTAAGCAAATAAAAACTGCATAAAATTGTAACTCATAAAATAATTTAAATGATACAGGTTGCAATTTGGGCAGTATATAAAACAATAATCATATCAACAATTGCGAAACCTATGCGAATCAGTGACTGTTCAGTTATCCCATGTCGGTAATGGAAAATCGATGGGTATAGTTCGAGGCGTTATATCAAATTCGAGAAACAACTAGTAAAATAATATATTCAATGCTTTGTTTAATTGAGCAGATGTTACAACTGTAATAAATAATCGAAGAACCGTTTCCCGAGACAGTCTTAGACCTCAGCGCAAACGCGGTGTATGTCCTTGTTCGTCACCCGATCCCATTTAATTGAACCAAAACAAATGAATTAAGACTGTTGTAGTATTCATATAAAGAATTGATTAATTACATCCGAGAGCTTGCACATGGTAATAGAAATGTACCCATCTGATAGTGTACGCTACAATGTACAAAAATAATATTTCATATATTAAGTTGTTTCAAACTACTTAGAGGAACCCAACCACCTACGAAATATGAAACATGAAATATGGGAGACAACGAAAACGTAACGTAATTTACATCGTATATCGTAATAAACAAATGAATGACGCGTAAAATACACCTAATCGCTTACCATAAATCCGTTAACAGCGGAATGTGCCTAAGAAAGCTGTGAATGTAAGCAAAATTAATTCTGATAATTAATTAGTTAATTACCTAACTAAACCTTGAAATAGCATACCAAAAGTTAGCGGCTAATAGCTATACTTTGGGCATGTATGAGTTTTACTCCCTAATGATGAGAAGCAGATTTTCCACTATTTTTAAAAAAAAATATTATGGGCGATGAAATTTTACCAAGGTTTTAATACTATAATGGCAAAAGTTTTTGTCAAAGTACTATAGTTTCGGCAGGCAGTAGGGTGACTCCCTGATGAGGAGCAGTTTTTGAAGATCTGGAGGTTTCTCCACGCTTACTGTAACCTAACGATAAAACTCCCCGTAAATCATTTTTACCACCGATGCCTCCTTCTTGGAGTACAATTATGTCAATGAGTGAGTCAGTCAGTAAGTGAGTGGGTTTGTAAAACTGTAATTTCGATTTCAAACTATAATTACAATTGGATTAATACACAAATATAATAGAACTCTTCGTCTACACAAAAAATAATAACACAATAAATAATCGATAAACTTGCATCGATAGTTTTTTGGGCGTCTCTACTTACACGTGCCGCTTGCAGCCCCTGTGATTGATAAACAAAGACGCAACTATAATACAGGATGCTTGACAAGGACAGCCTCAGAACTACGACCAGATTACGTTGAAACCTCACGTTTTTAGTAAGTAAATTAAAGTAAAGTAACAGCCTATATACGTCCCACTGCTGGGCACAGGCCTCCCCTCATTTCTGAGAGGGTTTTAGGGCACGGAAGTGTCCGCCGCGCTCCCCAATGCGTATTGGCGAACTTCATATGTCTTCGAAATATTTTTTCATATTCCTCAGACATGCAGGTTTCCTCACGATGTTTTCCTTCACCGCCGAGCACGTGGTAAAACAGCACTTAAAATTGCAATTAACAATTTCATTGGTGCCGGCGGGGATCGAACCCGGGTTACTCGCATTCTGTTATATTTGCAGCGAGCGTTAACCATCTGAGCTACCACAGCTCTCACGTTTTTAGTATTTTAAGATTATTAAATGTTGCACTTACAGGTG